CGACAGTAGTGTTAGCGGGCTATTTCACAATGGATTTGTCCATGTGATAACATTACCCGAGTCATTTATGCATGAGAAGCTACATGATGCTTAACTTACTTGTGGGTCATGATTTTTCTTAAATCCCATACTATGGGTTATCGTTCTTCCTAAACTAACTTACTCGTTGAACAAGGAAAAATTAGAGTAGGTTCAAGTCCCTTATTACATAATGAAATAGTCTCTAATTGAGCAAGTAAGACAATATATATATATATATATATAAAATATTTAGGAAAACTATTGAGCTTCAATGATAGTCTTATCACATGAAATTTTAACTTATTATTTCTCTTTTTAAGCGAACTCTTATCATAAATGATTATGTAATGCATTAAAATGCAATATTTCTTAACATGCAAAATTACTTAATATTCATGCATGCTTAATATCATTATCATACTCACACTATATATATATATATATATATATTAATACTTAAAACACATAACATGTCATTGAACTCCACATCACATTACATCAATAAACTCCTAACCATATTCATTATTGAACTTCACAAAACATCAGATCATTGAATTTCACATTACACACATTTTATTAAATTTCACAAAATATCATATCATTGAACTCCATATTACAAATTTTTATTTCAAAACTTCCTCTTGTTATTAGAGGGAGGTTACAATTTCATATGTTGCACTTGTATTTTAAATAATTTCACACATTTCAAAATAGTGTCTAAATCAAGAGATCGACTAACACATAAAAGCACAAGAGAGATTACTTTTAATTACTTCAAAGTTTTGAGAGGTCAAAGATTTACTCCTTAAATACATGCTTTGAAAGTTAATCCAAACTTAAATGGTGCCAAATAATAATCACTCTACATTTAATCACAACATTAATCATCAATACCCTTTTTTAGGATAATTTTTAATATCTAAATTAACATTTTTAACTCTTAAAACTCAGTCTCTTCATATACAAGAATACCCGTAGGATTTATTAGCTTCTTTTAACTCACAACCAATCATCAATGACATCTTCAACTCCTCCAGTAACTTCCATTAATGTCATTTATGGATATTAATGACACCCACAACTAAAAAATGAGTAGATTTATAAATGTTAGGTTTAAATATCCTAAATGATTTTCATTAACTCTATATAAGTTAGTGGATTCGAACTTATAGCCTTTAAGGATTAAAAATTATCTTTTTTAAATAAACTCTAACTCTCAACTTCAAGAAAATGTAAGAGGAAGAGAGGAAAAGAGGTTAGAAACCTTACCTTTAATGATTGGTAGCTTCGAATTGCTCCTAACTCTTCAACTTGCAAGCCCTGGCAAAGGAAATTTCAAGCCCTTCAATTTTATCCTTCTTTTTCTTTCTTTTAGTATGTTTTGCGCCCTTATTTATGTAGAAACACAGCCAAGCACTGTAGCGTATGCATTGCATGCTATAACATGTGGTATAAAGAAGGAATCTTCATGCACTGATGACTGGTGCGTTGTGGCATATAGCACAAAGCTATTTTCTTTTGTTTTTCTCACTTTTTGATGTTTGAGTGGCTTAAATTTGCTTCGAACTCAATCCCAGAACTAAAATCACAACCTATAACATTCACTTGCTCTCTGTAACCATACACTACATTAATTTGATTAACTAACTTATTTATTCAATTAATTAAGGGTTAAAATTTTTAGAATGTTATAGATGTTATTGAAAATATTCTAAATATTAATATTTATTATGCTATTATTGAGAGATATTATTTGCCATTATTGGTACATATTATTTGATAAGTTATTGTTGTAAATAATTATTATTAGGTTATTTCTTTTTCGTTATGTATATTATACTCATCATAATAGTAATACACATGATATTTTTTAATTTTCTTAATCTCTCTCTTATCTCTTATAGCTTTCAGTAATCTTTATCAAGAGTACTCCCTCCGGTCCTATTTATAAGTCATTTCTACCAACCTCATCAATACCAATACAATAAAAGTACAAGGAATAAAAGTAAGTAAAATTCCAAACATGCCCCTATATAACAAATCTAAAAAGTAATGTCCTGTTACTTTTTCTCTCTCATGAAGGGTAATTTTGGAAATACCTCTCAAATATTACCTAAAAAGACGCACCTGACTTATAAATGGGACCAAATACACCTTCTAAAATTGAACTTATAAATGGGACCGGAGAGAGTATATAAATTTGTAAATGCATCGAAGTCTGTGTAGGTGCTGGCCTTTAGTTTAGTGTACATCACGATAAAAGACGCAAAAATTCTTAAACTAATGTACCGAACATTGCTGCATGCATGACAACTCGGGTGGCCTCTCAACGTATATGTACTCTATATGTACTTTATTTTGTTTTCTTTCCTTTTATTTATTCATTGCAATCAACAAATATTGAATGAATTATTGAATATCTGCAATTAATTCACTCGATTGGTTGGACGTTCAGATGTCCTATTGATTACACATACGTGGAAACAAAAAACAACTTGTACGTTCAACTTGGAATCATACAAAATGTCCCGTGAAATAATTAATTCATTGGCATTACATTTTTCCCCATATCTCCATCTCTTGCACATGCATGTGTTTGGGATTCTTGTACCGAATAATTATATTCAATTATCCATACAATAATATCCACACACACATCACATATAGAATGTACTGTCAAGAGGCTAGCAAGAAAAATGAAATATATAAATTTAAAGAGTTCTCTTGTCAAACTCATTTACTTTTTCGGATGATTTATTCTTTTAAACATGTGTTTTTAATAGTAGTTTTCATTAAAAGTCAATATCAACATAAAGTTTTAATTGAGAAAAGACTAAATGAAGTGTCGTAGAACGAAACCGCTAAAGATGTTAACTCAATAAATTGCATTGTTATATATGAGTATAGCACCAAGAAACATCACAAGGAAAAAAAAAATTATAAGGTTAGTGAACTTTCTCACCAACATGCCAGTTTTTTAAAATAAACTTTAACCAATGAGTAAGCTTTTCCTTTAGACTTATGTTACTAACATTGAAATGTCTATATAAATTATAAACAATATTCCTTTCATCTCAAATTATAAGATATTTTTAAAAAAAAATTATTGTTTTCAAATATAAAACACTTTGAACAGATTAAAGTTTCATTAAATAAGCTTATTCTAGTATTATCCTTTCTCTTTCTAGTTAATACTAATTAAGTGTAGATTTAATATTATTAAATGACGGGTATTTTTAAAAATTTATATTTTTATTTTAAAAAAATAATATTGTTAAGTGTATTTAATGAGATCTATTAGTATGTAAAATTTTATCTAAAAATGACTTATAATTTGAAATGGAGGGAATATAATTTATTTCATGCCCATAATCTATTTGTAGAAATTAGATTTAAAATGGATACATGACACTTGATTTGAACAAGAACCACACCATTCACAATTTGTTAATAGCGTGGAGCCCTTAATTTAATATTCCAAAAATATTTAATTTTTATTTCAAATAATAATACCCACCGTGTATTGACAAATATGTAATATTTTTTATTTCAATTTTCTACTCGATATATAATGTCTGGTTGGTAAAAAAAAATAGGAACACATCTATATTATTTCCTTTCTAGATAATTTTTCCATTTTTATAATTTTTTATTAAATACGGAGATATTATTCATGTATTTTTGAGTTGGTAATTAAATGTACTAAATACTAGGAATCTATCAATTTATTTTAATACATGGGTCTATCAATTTTTACAAGTACAATCTTCATAGTCAGCAGGGCCCTTTTTCTTTTTTTTATTCTTCCTAGAGCCCATTATGCAAGGAACAACATAAACCAATGGCCCAAAAAAAAAAAAACCAGTGCACTAACTGGTTTCTCGGTCCATCTGCCCTGTATCATGGGAATCTTAAGTTAATGGAAATGTTCTTTTTACCAAAAAAAGAAAAAAATGATTATAAAATATTTCTAAATTATTTAAACGATAATTTAATCTCTTAAAATATTATAATTTCATTTAAGTCCCTAAAGGTCTCTTTGTTAATAAATTGTAAATTAAAAAGACCATTTTCCTTCATTGATAATTTGTGATTCTTTGAAAAAATATTGTGATTTTTTAAATAAAAGTGATGAATGGAGTTTGTTATTTTAAAAATTTATTTTTTAATAATAAAAATTAAACTTGATAAATGGTAATTTTTTGTTCTATTTTTATGATTTACAGAATAAAAATTATTATTCTTAAATTAAAATTGTGATTAAATCTTATTATTTTCAGTAAAGGTAAAATAATCTTTTCACTAAAAGCTATTGACAAGAAGATTCTTAAAAAATTTATTAAAATTATAGCTTTTTTAAAAATTTTATATAATTTGAAGGGAGTTTTATTGTTGTTTTTCAAAGGAAGGAGAAAAAAAAAACTGAGGAAATGTGCTTTTGGTTTGCCAAAAAAAAAAAAAAACGTTCCTTTGAGTACTTAGTTTCAGAAAGGAAGACAAATATTTTTTTCTTTTTGTAAAGCAAACTAGAAAAGGAAAATCTCCTTTGGATTAGTTTTATAACTTTTTCTAATAAAAAATCAGATTACTTACAATAATATCCCCAACTGGCTTCACAAACAAAAGTAGTTTTATGACTTTTATTTTACATAAGCATGGCATATCTCTCTTCACTTGGGCAAAACATTTTTTTTTTAAAAAATTCTATCTACTTATTTTAACACATTTTCAGTTTTAACGTTTCGAATATAAAATCCGAATTGAAAACATTTTCACCTTTGCATGTCCCCCACCCTAAACTTTGCCTATATTATTCGGATTCCTAAAAGAGAGCTGATTGTTTATGAATAATGTAAATGATTTCTTAACATTAATATTGATTTTTTTCTCTCTCTTTTGATCACATTTTAATTTTAGCCTGATGCCTCGCTATTTAATATCGACAGCACCATCACATCAATAAGACAGCCTTTCCGTAAATGAATTTCCTTATCTCATCAGGAAAGAAAGCAAGAATAGAGTGATCAACGAGTCGAATGTTGCTGAGTCGGCTCACCTGACACGGCGATTCCGAATGGTGGACGAAGTAACCATTTTATCTGCCTCGACATACGTGGCAGCCTGGCACTGACAAATCTTCAAGAATTCATTCACAGTTGAATCACTTCTTCAGTTTCCTTCTTTCAATCCCCGAATTGCAAAACCCAGAAACCTCGATGGGATTGTAGATACTGTTTTACAAAATTATGAGGGGTTTAGGTCTTCACAAACCATTGGTTTCCAGGCCGAAGCCTCCCTTTTTAGCTTTCCTGGGCACATTCCCCTGCTGTGCTAATTTCTCCGGACCCTCTACCTCACCTTCATGTAAGTTCTTCCCAACTGTTTTCTCTCTGCATTGTTTGCTTTACTGTACACCAGAGATGGTTGGCTGTGATTGACACTGGCTGGGATTTGCTGTCTTATTGAGTAACATAATTCCTAAATTATATATAGCAAGGTGCAGAAAGATATCGAGGTTGACGTTGGCCCATGGCACAGTTCGAGCGCAAGCATCCAATGTCCGCATTGGACCTGGAGATTATGAAAGCAAGAAGGAGAGTGATGGCGAAAATATCTTTGGAGGCAGTCCAGTCAATGATGATGATTCATCCAAAGTGTGAGTTGTATTAGACTTATCAAATTTTTGTTTTATTTGACTAGATTATGGCCAATCTGTGATCGGCATCCAATTCCATTGCAAACGCCCAATACTGGTATTAACTGATGAGAGGTGGAGGTAAGTTCCTCATGGAGCAGAGATATAAGAAAGGGAGAATTACAATTAGATCCCACATAAAGAAATTAATTACTATAAGGCCTATTGACAATTGAACTAAACTACATTGACAATTGATTGTGTTGTCAATGCAATTTAGTTTAGTTATCAATGAGCCATGGATTAATTTTCTTGTATGGGATTTCAATGTAATTCTCCTTGTAAGAAATGTGTTTTGCAAAAGTAGAAGTTTGAGCCGAGATGAAATTATTAGATTCATTTCCCTCTTGTGACTATAAACAGGGACTATATTGCTCTCCGTTTCCCATATCCCAATTGTGGACACCATTATAAATTAATAGCCCCCTCTTAATTTCTAAAAGCAACATTGGAGAATATGTTTTATAGGTTCCTAGATAAGGTAAAAATTTATACTTTATGATTGAGAAACCCCTCTCTCTAGTTTCTAAAAGACTTCCATGGTCACAATTTCATGTTTTTAGTTTTCCTGAGTGATCTATTGTGTCATTAAATTCTTTTTAGTCAACTTTTAATTTTTAAACTACTGTAGGCATTGAAGTCCCTGTTAAAACTCTGATCTTGACATGTTTTATGTCTTGGCAGTGTGAAGCAACCTCCTCAGATCCCTTATCCTATCTCTATAGCTCTTGTGCTATCTGGATGTGCTCTTGTATTTTCGCTGATAGCTTTTCTGAAAGGGGGGCCTTCATCAATTCTCCAAGCCATAGCAAAATCAGGATTCGCTGCTGCATTCACATTGATATTTGTTTCTGAGATAGGAGACAAGGTAACCATCAAGAAGCTGTGTTCCATTTTTGTTTATCTATTTGTCTTCCTCATCCTAAGTGAAGATTTCTTTGAGGCTTCCCATTCATATTTAGGTTCAATGCAAGTTCCAAGAACAGAAGATAAACTAAGATGAATTTATTGGAAATTAATGGAAAAAATATGGCTGGGCTAAAATCAATGGAGCAAAAAACTCTCTATTTTGAGGCGTTAAAATTAGAAAAAGAAATCCTGGCTTGGATACTCATGTACGCTGCTTGCTTGCACACATGCCCAAGCTAAACATGCCCAAACTTGAGATGAGCAAGGCTTTGACTTAGATGACCCAAAGGGGAAAAAATAGAATGAAAGATAGGAGAACTCATCTTTGAGATAGTTGAAGTTCTTCCTAATATTTTTTGGTCCCACGTGAACATCTTGAATAATATAGACCAACAACTTTTGGTTTAGTAGATTTTCTATTAAATACTCCTTCCGGTATATAATACAGAACATTTTCTAAAAGCCTTGCTTGATCCAAAATGCAGGGCATTTGATAGTTCTTATATATATTTTTTTTCAATTACACCTTTATTTCGTTTATTATTCATTTGGAAGTCATTATTAAGGAACTTCTATAAGACATTTAATGAGGATATAATTGAAAAGATGTACAATTTTTTTTTTTTTGAAGATTAAGGTTTCAACTCTCTCTCTCTCTCTCTCTCTCTTGAAATCATGAAATAGTTATCAATTTCCTATGCTATGGATCGTAGGGAGTATTAGTATAAGATAGTTATAATAAACCAAAATAGAATAGCTAAAGCATATCACTAATAAAAGTTACCGACAAATTTCATGCTTCTTAAACTGAATTGACATCTAACAGTGTTGTAGAAGTTTTGTAAAATCTAGTCCTAGACCCCTTTTTTCTTATGCATAATGTTGAAATAAAAGTTGTTTGTTCAACCTTTTATTTAACCTTTTATCTTGGCATTAACAACTATGCTGGGTAAACATAAAATATGAAGAAATGTATTCAAATTCAATTGATTTTATAGCTTAAATGAATATTTAAGTAGAGGTTTTCCCCCTTTGAGAACTAGACTGTGGGCTTCATGTTGCGTGTGAAGTCTAATATGAGTTGGTTTGTTCACAGTTTATAAATAATGAGATTTCCTGTAAATTTTATGTTATATTAATTCTTTGGTGGTTGGCCAAAAAAAGAAAAGTTCTTTGGTAGATATTTCAATGGATGTTCTCTTCTAGTGATTTGAGGACCTTCTTTCCTCTATATTTTATTTATATTTGTTTCTTAAAACTAGTCAAATTGAGGAGATGCAATTTCTGTTACTCGTTCATTTAACTTTTTAGTTCCTTATCTTGACCAGACATTCTTTATTGCTGCACTCTTGGCGATGCAATATGAAAAGGGATTGGTATGTCTCCAAACTTTTCCTCATAATTCTACGCCCATCAATTTCCTGTTAATCATTAATTATTAAAATTATTCTTCACTTTGTTTGGTCATTGTTGCTGCTGCTCTTCTTTATAACTTAAAATTTTAGTGCAAGGCTTGGATGGACGTTTGCTTTGTCTAGGTTTTGACCCCAAAGACTTTCTTATCAGAGTTGTGCTAGAGATGTCAATAAAATCCATTCTTGGGTCTCAACATAAAATCTTAAGCTTTTGAGGTAGTTAGTTACTGGTCCTTTCAAGTAAAGTTCTTCCCAAAAAATTGTGCCAGTAATGATCCTATTTGGTGCTTTGAATGTGAAAGCTGGGATTGCACGTTGGGGTGTATCCAGAGGTTCTGTTACACTTCTTGTCCAGAAATTTCTATGGTCTCTGTCCTTGTCAGTGTTGTCCTCCTAGTGAAGGCTTTGAAATTCCTCAACTAACATTGAAATTCTTCAACTAACAACCGCTACTGTGCACCTCTTGTGATCAGAACACGACTTTGTTTTGCCAACCATGCTTAACACTAATATGCTGAGTTAAGGTGAAAACTTTTACCATTGCAGTCATCAGTCAACCATTCCGCATCAGCAGTTTGTAAATTGATTAAATATTTGAAAACTTTCTACCATCGCAGTCACTAGTCAATCTTGTTAATATATTTTATCCCATTCTCATTTTGGATGCTGTGGCTACCGATATTCATAATTTTTCATTACATATTAATAGAACTAAATGCATTACTTTCTTTGGGAACTGTTCTGTGGTCTGAACATCTGTTGCCCATGTTATTGCAAGAATTGCTAATTATTACAAACTGAAACTTATACATTTGAACAAAACCATTAATGACTGACCAGGTCCTACTGGGATCAATGGGTGCTCTTTCACTAATGACAATCCTATCGGTTGTAATTGGCCGAATTTTCCAATCAGTGCCTGCTCAGTTCCAGACAAGTAAGTGATGAAAGTTGGCGTTTTTCATCCTTATCAGATAGGCCGTAGAACTTTCTCTATAGTTAAGGAACTCATCACCCAACCATGCTTGCCTTAATAGTAACGCTTTACAATTTTTATCTGATTAGTTAGCATAAACAATGCCTGCTAATAAACTAATATCTGGTGCATGATTTGGGAGATCTCATGACGAAATTTTTATTTTGCTGTTATAAAGTTTTCTTTGCAAGGAGTTAAAGGCTAACAAGTAGCTATGGTACCTGTTTTTGTCTTTCTACTGCGTTGGCCCTATTGTATATCCCACTATAAGAGAAACCTTATATCGTTTTAAAATCTCCTAGTTTTAAATTTCTGGCCTGAGAACTGTCTCCACTGCTAGCACTTAGCCTTAATTTCCATCTTGAGCATAATGCTCTGAAGCCTGAATACTGTTTAAAATTGGCCGGTTATATTATTTTTAAATTTTATAGTTTGCAATTATATCTCAGAGGATTCAATCAACTTTCATAAAGGACTTTCTTTCTTTCATAATTTTCACTATGTAAACGCATTTTTTTCTCAAAAGAGAAGTCTGGGTTACTTATTCTGCTGACTGCTGCCGTTTTCACATTGTTTGGTCGCTTCATACAGCTTTGCCAATTGGAGAATATGCAGCAGTAACTCTTCTTTTGTTTTTCGGCCTGAAATCAATAAAAGATGCATGGGATCTTCCATCTGATACAGTTAAGAGTGATGATAACAGCAGTCCTGAACTGGATGAACTTGCTGAAGCAGAGGAGCTTGTGAAAGAAAAGGTTTGAATCTTGTACATAACATGGGCCTTTTCGTAGATAAGAAATTTTTGCATGAATATCAATATATTTTGACAACTTAGTAATAAATTCCATGTATGTGAAATTGATTTCTTTCAACCATGATGTTAGCATATACTTTATTTGCTGGCTTATTGTTTGTAACTTGCATTATTCTCCCATCCCATCTCATGTTTTCTAAACGTCTTCAGGTGTCCAAACGGCTTTCCAATCCACTTGAGATTGTATGGAAATCATTCAGCCTTGTATTTTTTGCCGTAAGCCTCCTTGTCTTCCATCTTTATACGCAGCAATAGCGTAGCATAGGTTTCTGGTCGTTGAGGCCTGTCTGTTTAAGAAATAAAGTGATTTTGATAAGCTAAACATGATTCAGCTATCTCTTATATTAGCTTAAAAAAAAAATCTATTTTATGCTTATTTTGATAAGCTACTTGGATTAGCTTTTTTTAAATTGATCACTTAAAAAAGCTAATCCAAGTAGCTTATCAAAATAAGCTTTCACTAATGATTGTTTTATGTTTAGGTTATCAAAATCACTTTTTTCCTTGCCTATAAACAAAGTGGCCCTAAATCATCACTGATAAACAATAAAATAGCTTATTTCATCAGATAAGTTTTCGTCTTGTATTTTTTCTCAATATGGCCTAGTGTTACTTCATACTTGTTGATCTGATTCATAATTCAGAATGTGCTGTTTCATTACGGTCATTGTCAGTTGAACTTTAAATATCTAGTTTTTAGTGGTGCTTATTCGAAAACCTCATAAAGAACCATGTGTTTATATTGTTATATTATGTCCTCAGCCACCAAGTTTGATTTTGCATCTGAAATTGCTTTAGGAATGGGGAGATCGATCAATGCTTGCAACAGTTGCACTTGGTGCTGCTCAGGTACACTTTTACTTCTGAAACAGCTTAAAAATGTTATTTAACATAATATTAACCTTTGTAATGTCTGATTCTTCAGTCTCCTTGGGGTGTGGCGAGTGGAGCCATTGGTGGCCACTTCCTTGCAACCTCTATTGCTATCCTTGGAGGAGCGTTTCTTGCCAACTACATTTCTGAAAAATTGGTACGTGTCATAAGACATAACCGAATTTGACATTTAATTTTTACACCACTTATCTGATTTCTAATGGATATTTATTTTCAATCAGGTTGGTTATTTGGGTGGAGGGCTTTTTCTAATTTTCGCTGTAGCTACCTTTTTTGGGGTTTTCTGATCTATTGTCGCAGAGCCCTACCTGAATGGCCCCCCAATATAGAAACATGAGCAGATGTGCGAACACTTACTTGATGAGGGGAAAAGGGGATAGAGGAAATCCATAGTTAAGCTTAATTGGAGAATTCCTTTAGTAGACATGAGCGTAAAAAAGGATCGGGATGGAGAATAAGAAGCAGGAAATCTGCCGTTAGAGGCTAGTGTGACGTGATTCTCACTCTTTCATTCTCTTCTAATATTACATTTTTTAGTCCAAGGTCACTGTAATAATAGGACTATCTCTAACAAAGATCCTCTATCTCTAACAAGCCAATTTGGTTTTTATTCTTTGTTGTAATTTTATGCATTGCATGCGGATAATTCGCCGGCTGCTATGAATTGATATCTGTATCTTATCTATGTTTATTATCATCTTTGAAATGTAGTAGAAATTGTCGAGGAAAGTTTCATTGAAGACAAATTTTATCTGGTTAAAAAAAAAAAAATCAATATGGTAAACTGGTTGAGCGTTCCAAAAATATTCACGATTCAAAGCACGTCTCTGTTAGAACCCTGGACTTTCACATTCAAAGGGGCTGAGAAAATTAGCTATTAACAACCTAGCTAATTAGTTAAAAATAGAAAGACTGTTGACTCCATCCTCCACCAAGGGTGGACTGTGGACATCACCATGTATATTTTGCACTGGAATTTGGAGATAATTCACCGGTCACCGAGCAAATTATTGGTCATGAGATGATTTTGAGGACACCACCTTTTGGATCCCAAAAGGAATAGCACCACAAGGCCATATTGAACTTTTTTCGAATCTGGAGATAAGTAAACAAGTGAGAAGGCTTCTCTCCCCTCTGGCTTTTCCGTCCCTCGTGGCTTCCGCTTCTCTCTTGTGAAAGCAGAATAAAGGATGCCAGTTCCACGGATTTTGGTAATCGAAAAACAGAATCTTCCACATTTTCATTTCTTTCCCTTCCTCCCCCTCGCCAAACAGTGCACGGAAAAAAAACTTATAATGAGATTCGAACTTTTATTCAATTATTGGCACAAAAAACCCTTGTCTCATTACATATTAAAGAGAATTATAAAATTTCAACCTCCTCCAATCGTTCTAGTGATTGTCCAAGGATTTCTTGATGCGGTGTTTCATGATTTAGGAAGACATCAATCTAAAAATACAAAGGCAAGACCTTGAAACAATTAGAAGATGAAAATGGGTGTAAAACTCAACTATGGTGTATTAATCCATTTTTCACAATGTAACAATCAAAATAATATATATCTGCCAAGAGAAAGCACCCAACTCCACACATAAATTTGGCATACATATTAAATTTGCCATCCAGAATTAGCAAAAATTTAACTGCTCTAAAAGAATTAGTAATCATACCTATAGCTTCTATCCAGCACAGACTATAACTTGCTACAAGATTTCCAAGAGGAACAAGAAGGACGCAATCAGTTGATTCTTCCAAGCCTTTGTACCTTCTCTTTCATGGAGGCTGCTATTCCATTACATCTTATGAATGCATGGTAGAGTCACTTCATCAAAATTTACACAGAGGTGAACGGAGAGTACCATTTGACAGCAACTCAACAATTGCTTTCTCAAGTCTTCGAGATCCTGGACCTGGTCTCAATATATCAGCATCTCCCCATATTGAACATGTCCCGTTCCCAGGCTCACCCAGGCACCATCCACCAGGCACAACTGATTCAGGGCTTCGGCCCAAAATTTTTTCATCAATGAGATCAAGAACCGAATCATCTGGCTGGAATTTTCGGGCAAAGGCAGCTCCACTGTTAACCATGTCATTCAAATCACTGGTGTTTAGCACCCGGGGTTCATCTATGAAAGGTTTGTCAAAAGTATTATATAGTAAGTTCTGATTTACAATAGTCCTGCTGAATCTGCGAGAATTACAGAGAACCGTAGGGAAATAGCTGGAAAGTGATTTAGGGGAGTTTGCAAAATACATCAGTAGAGTCCTTGGGAGGTTGTCTTCTCCCAATACACAAAAATCCATAAACTTGCGACTCAAGATAGAAAATGGTGATCCTGCAAAACAGCAAGTTCAGATTAAATCAGTTGTTACATACATAGAATTTCTTTATTGATGAGACAGTAAGGTTGCATATTTACCCATTTTAAAGGTACAAACTACTTTGTTTTCTTTCTTTTTGGGATAAAATAAATGCATGGTCCGTAGCTTTTCTTGCTTTACTGGAGTTTCAAGAAAATCAAAGGGAAAAAAAACTGATAATAATAGGTTAATGACAGAAAATACTTAAAATTAATTTTTAGACGTTTGTTTTGAGGTTCCTTAATAAAATTACCACAGGTTGAAGAACTTTTTTATAAACTTAGCAATGCTGATAAATTGATATGTTACATTTTTGTTCAAAAAATAATAGAAAATACCCAAAACTACATTTATATCCCATCCTTTGTTAAATAGCAATTGTAGCAAGTCACATTGTTCATGAACAATGCAGTTTTTTTCTGAGCTCTATGCTATACAGAAATTCTTAATTAAGAAAATAGCACTGATAATTTGTGGGATTTTTCTACTCAGTCATGATAGAGAGATTGTTTTGTTTCACAAAAGGCTTAATTAATTTACTTCAACTCTTCCTAGTCCCTAGTACTGATGGATTTAATACTTCATTACCAGCACACCGTCGAACTTTTGATCGTTTCTCCTCCATTTGAAATGTCAAGCTTTACCAACTTTGTTTAATCCAAACAGCCCACGACCTCAAGCCATTACTGTCCTTTGTATTAAAACTTGAATGATGATAATAATTAGCCCTGCTTAGAATATTAAGAAAAAAGCACTTTTGCTTTTGTGCATCAAGCAACTATCCCTAAAAATGTGCAAAAAAAAAAAAATCGCAACTTTTTTTTTTTCTTATTGAGTTATTGTTTATCCCTTCAGTTTCCTACAGTTTTTGAGCCTTTTCAGCACAGAACATTGGAAATTTATGCCTCAGCTTGAACTGAAATCCGCTGGTAGCATATTGATCTGACAACTTACCTTTATCCATTATTCTGTAGTAGCATATAAGTTGATCTAATTGGGTAAATTTAAACTGTAAAAAGAGAAGCCGTAACTATTCAGCTTACAAAATATCACGTTAGGGTAATCCCAGAAAAGCATTACCCGTAAACAAGCGGAAGGCGTTGGGGTAATCCCTCTTCTGAGTAGCAAAAAACATTTCAGTCCCCTCTGAAAGATAAAGGCCCGGATCAACAATAATGGGCCTCAACTTCCTTGACCTATAGCATCGAACACAATGGAAAATCAGTGTCCAAATAGCATATGCAACAAGGATCGCCTAATTATTGTAATGCCCTATACAAAAATAATTGAGCTTCACAAAAGCAGTAAAACTAGCTTACTCTTTCCAGCCGATATAACTCGAATGGTTCACAAAATTCACATCCTTGGGCAGAAATGACAAAATGTGGAGGAGATCTGAGATCCACACAGCATTCAAGATCATCAAACCAATAAAATAGAAAATATAGATACAAGAAAGAGCGAAAAGCAATGCACCAAAAAATTCGCCATACCATACCATCTGGTGTAACAAGGGGATAAGCATCAGCACTCAGGCTGATAAACCAATTCCATTTGACCGACAAGCGTAGCAGTATTGAGGCCCCGTGGAGCGTGAAAGAAACCGGAGATGACCCTTTGGAATGCGCAAAGTCCGGCTTGCCCATGACGTCGACGTTTTGGGCAGCTCGAAATATGGGGTTAGACTGTACAGCGAGAGCAAGCCTCTCACGATCTTCGTGAGGAGCAAAGGGGTCGAGGTGGAGGAGGTAGTGGTTGCGGGGATGGTATGTGGCGAAAAGCAATCGGAGGACCCGAGTCCAATCGCCGCGGGATCCAGAAATAAGGTAAGCTATGGAGGGAGGGGAGGGATCGGATTGAGTGGTTTTGTCGAAGATGATGCGTTGGGTTTGGTGGGAGGGAAAGAGAAAGGAGTCAGGTCCAGAATGGGAAGGGGTCGAGGAAGACGAAGAAAGGGAAACGATGAGGAGAATGGAGAGAAGTGAGATGGAAAGTAGAATGAGCAGAGTTGATTTGGGGTCTCTGAAATTGAAGGATGAAGATGGAAATGCAGGCGAGGCTGATGCAGCTGCGAGTGAAGCTTGATTTTGCATTTTTCTGGGTTCACTGAACGACGACGATGGTTCCGCTAGCTTCAGAACTGCGCTTCTTCCCCTTGCCTTGCCTGTTTCACGGCTTTCACTACTGTTTCTTTGGAAGTTCAAAATCAAATTCCAAACCAAAACCACTTTATAAGTTGATTTTTTTATACCTTGGCTTTTTTATAAAGTAATCTAAAGTACAAAACTTTCAACAATTTCATACATATTAAAAAAATTAATTTTATAAAAAAATAAGATCTACTTTGATTTTTATTTTTAATTTTAAATAATAATATAATTATATTAAATACTTTTACATTTAATTATAAATAAAATTAAAAAAAGTATTAAATATATTTAAGTGATATAAAATTGTAGTAGCTCTTAAGAATTAGAACTTTCATTATGATAAGAATGGAGCCACCTTCTATAAATTTTGTACAGTATAGATATATAAATAAAAATAAAATATAACTTTAAATTCCTACACTATATCGTATTTTGATATTAATTCTGTACTTTTTTTATATTTTTAATTCCTCTACTTTTATTTTTTATAATTTGTAATCTTTTAAGATCTTTATACTTTATTTACACAAAAGAACTTAAAACAATAAAAATTAAAAACATAAAAAATATAAAAATTAATAATAAAATATGAGTAAAGTAAAAAAATAAAATTATATTTTTTCATAAATATATATGGTATTTGTAAAATGAACAGGTGCCTAAATGCCCCGACTAAATGCGTTTTTGCACTTGCAAGAGCAACCCTCTAGTTGCTTCAGTGTATATCTAAGAGTGGCAATTTGACCTCAATATTGCGAAAAACAATTTTTTTTAACCATATACTATATTTTTAAAAATATTTCTCTAGATGCTACAAATTTGAGACTTAATTTATATCAGACCAAGATTTATTTTTTTTTTGGTTACATATGAGAGTATAGAACTTGGCTTCAACCAAGCCAAAATCTGTATTCATAATTACAAAAAAAAAAAAAAAGTCTATACCTAGCTTAAACTTATCATTTCAAAATAAAATAAAATTTCCAAGTATTCCTCTCCCATTTTCTACTTCCTCTCTCCCTCTTGGTGTGCATGAGTCATATATAATGGTGTGTTGTGCATAATATGTGGTGGTGTGGTTTTTTTTTTTCCTTCAACATACAAGTGGGTGTTTGTTATATATAATATAAATAATATAATAAATTTATAATTGTAATTATCTATATGAAAAAATATGAAATACCTTAAAGAAGATATCACATTTAAAATGAAAATATTTGTATACAACAATAACATACAAATATATGGGTTTGTCTACAGTGTATAGGAATTAATTGATTCAACAACAACAAAAAGATAAATCGTACATATGTAATTTGAGTAATTTAATTTAATTTTAAATTTTTTATAATATTTATAAATTGACTATCTAAACATATAGTGGAAGTCTAGATTAAATATTAATTTTGTAATGATTTTAAAAAATTGCAATTTAATGAGTATATATTTAACAAGTACTTTTTAAAACATTACAATTTAAAATTTTTAGACCAGGACCGTTTAGGGTAAATTTAGATAATCAATTTATAAAAAGAAAGAATATAACTTTAGGTTCTTATACTTTACTCGAGTTTTGTTATAGATCCTTATACTTTTGTTTTGATATTCTAAATCTCTATACTTTTATTTTTTAGTATTCTAGGTCCCTTCATGAGTTGTGTTATAAGGACCTAGAATACCAAAAAATAAAAAATACAAAGACTTATGACAAAATTCAAGCAAAGTGCAGAATATAAAGTTATATTTTTTCTTATAAAAATTATTAAAAATTTTAATATTAAATTGGACTATTTGAATTAAATTCATATTATCCCATTTAAAAATTTAATCTGAATAGTCCAATTTAATGTTACATTTTTAATAATTTTTATAAATTAATTATCCAAATTTATCCTAAATAGTCTGGATTTACAAATTTTAAATTATACTCCCTCCATTCAAAAATATAAAGCATTTTTTGAGGAGTTAAATGTTTAAAAATGTAAGACATTTTTAGTCTTTCGAGGTATAACCATTGCTTTTTTTTTTCAAAAATGTCCATATTAATAATAATTTTATATTTATTATAAGGTATTTAACAGGAAAAAAAAAAAAATATAAGGTTAGTTTGAAAGTAAATAACTACTTTATTAAGAGGTGAGATTTGATTAAAAATGCCTTACTTTTTTTAACAAAAGGAATAATGTTTTAAAAAATACTCATTAAATTGCAATTTTTTAAAATTGTTACAAAATTAAAATTAAATCTAGACTTTCCATAATACATTTAGATTGTGAATTTATAAATATTATAACAACTTTAAAATGAAATTGAATTACTCAAATTAAATATGTACTATCCACCCCTTTTTTTTTTTGAATCACTTAATTCCTATACACTGAAAACAAATCCATATATTTATGCGTTATTATTGTATACAAATATTTTCATTTTAAATGTGATATCTTCTTTAAGATATTTCATATTTTTTAATATAGATAATTACAATTATAAATTTATTATATTATTTATATTATATATAACAAACACACACTTATATGTTGAAGGAAAAAAAACCACACCACCACATATCATGCACAACACACCAATATATATAATGCACACACCAAGAAGGAGAGAGAGAGAGAGAGTAGAAAGTGGGAGATGAATACTTGAAAATTGAAATGGTAGGCTATCCTAGGGCAGACATGGACCTTTTGTTTTTTTTTTAATTATGATTGCAGAACTTGGCATAAACTGAGTCTCAGATTAACATTCATGGAAATATTTTTAAAAGTATAGTATATGGGCAAATAAAATTCCTTTTAGCAGTATTGAGGTCAAATTGCCTAAGAGTTTATGAGAATATTAAAAAAAAATGTAGAAAGGGGTGAAGAGGTATTCATACGCAAGACACCTCAAATATAAAACATGCTCATCACCATTCAATTTACCAAACTACAGTTTCATAGGCAAAATTGACCCAGTAATACAAAATTGTTTACACCATGGACTCGAAGGTTAGTGGGCCACAGTTCTCGATGTAGCTGTTGTCCTAAGTGTTCTTTTTTTTTTTTTTTGTGGTTGAGAAATTCCCCAATAAGATTCCTGAGATGTTAAGCTATTCCTTTATTCCTCTTCCTTGCTATTTCCAGCCTTCATTGATCATGATTAAAAAGAAACAAATATGGCATGAACTCACAGCAAAATTGATGCAAATCTGCATTTCTATTAATTTTACAGCAAGTTGCAAGAGAAGTGACATGGGGTGAAACTTTATGCTAATACTAAGCATATCCATTAGGCTTCTGTGCTTTGGAATTTCGTTTTCGCTTGTCGGCATCATAATGTAATAAAGCAGCATCCAGCACCTGCAATTGATATATTTATCCATCGATTATAATCCACTATATGATACAATGCCAAGGGGATGATTAACTCAATAGAAAGGGCATAAACCATTCACTGGCTCCAAAAAGCCACACTACTAGAACTCCAAAAATAGTTCAGGCGAGGCGAAGTCAAATAAATAGAAGTTGAGACTTGTTATCAGAGTAGCAACTCAACAAACAAAGAAATTCCTGTAGAAAGTTCATTGACATGTCGGTCAAGCCACAAAGAAGTTCAAGGAATAGGTGCTGGTAATACCCTTCTATTAAACTAACAATAAATAGTTTCTTTTATGATATCTTTTTTATTTCATTAATCCATAATCAATAATAGATTGCTTAAATACTTGCTCCTGGTCTCCTTTTTCACATTTCATTTTAGATGCAGAGGATACAGCATTTGACGAAAATCATGCATAAAGAAATGAAAAACAGTCAAACGAGCATGGGTGCTTACCTGCTGCATAGGATGAACAACAAGGGAAACCTGGTGCCGCAGGTCTGACCGCGCAGATACCTTTATTTCCTGAGAATTATATAAAACGGAAAAACATAAAGGCAACTGGTAACTTCTCCCAAAAGAAAAAAACGCACACAAGTTTCCATGAATGACAGGGCTGAATAATTACCTCGAGTTTAGAATACATTTGTGATATGGAATCCTTCAATCTGTTCACCTGCATTCAATAAGCAAGTGAATGAGAAAATAAAAAGAACAAATGAAATACACCAAGTATCCTCCTGTAATAAATCCTTTACCAATAAGAGTAATACTATGCAAGACACATGCACATGTCCATCAATGGCATATTTCAAAAGAAGCCCTCCCAGATCTTAAAATGAATGACCGATGAATCACTTTCAATGCAATTACTAAATCCCATCCGATGTCTAATGGTTTGTCATTCATGTTAAGGTCCTAAAACATCGATCTTTGGTCATTGCTTGGCAGCTTATGCGATTAAGTTGACCGGTTCTTCAACATAACATCGGAGCCTCTTCGACCAGAGTGTTTGATAACTTAATCTACCAAGTTAAACGGTTCATCAACAATTACTTAGCCAGAGAGAGGTGCTTGGATATACAGATGACATGACAATGGATGTTTATAGGTTTGGCTTGATTTAGTTTTAGGTAAAAAATCAAACTGAACCAAATCAATTGGTTTGGCAAAACTCTAAACTTATTTGGTTCAAGAATGAGATAGATTTACACACAAATGCAAGCCAATACAAATTCATGACTTTCAATCATAGAGTCATATGATTTATGTGCATAAATTCTAGCGACATTAAAGATCTTGTTGAAATGATGAAAGGTGAAAAATTACCTTAGTATTAAGGTTTGTTGTTGTAATAGGATATGAAGACCAGAAATGCCTCAGCAGTTCCTGACTGTAAACCCAATGCTGGAAAGAAGGAAGCGCATATTACATAAATATCTTAAAACATTTAGAATTACCCAAAACAGAAGGCTAATATTATTAGAAAATTCAAGACTACTGCTTGAAGATGTGGGAAACAGATGCACAATTCATGGGAAAGCTCAAAATATTATCTCTCCGTCTCTCTTTTCCTTTCATCCATTCTTCTAATGTTCCATTCTCAAAGAACTCATAAACATTTGGCCTTTACTCACATCTAGAAGTTGCTCCTTCGTTGTATTAGGCAATATATCCAGGACGCTCTCCCGGGAATTTTTTCCAAACTGATATTTGGAGGTTGAGATATTCTTTGTCAGTCCAGTAAGAACCTGTACAAAACAACATTCACATTTTGAAAGGAACATGAATTGTTTGATAGACGAGACAGAAGGCAGAAGAAAAAGGAATAAATGTTGTCCACTTGACCTAATATATTGCTGAGCATACAATCGTCACTTATTTAAGAAGTTTCTTTTCTAAAAAATAAGACAAAAATATGTCATTACCCTAAAAGCAGTATCAGGGTTAACTAGGGGATCCCTTAACCCTTGGGTCTTTGTTTTGGATATAGACGCCTTCAAAGAGCCATATGCTTCCTCAGAACTTAAATTGCATCTCGTTTGATCCATTCCAGCTTGAGAATGATCCAAGGTTTTAACAGCATTAACTTGTTGGGAATCAAAGTACTCTCGAGGATCCTGGTTTCAAGAAAGAAACAACATAAAAGAAAATAGACATTAACTAAACATAAAGTTTTATAATACACAACTTTGTTGCTTGGACGAAAAATGCAATTATTATGGAGTCTGAAATGATTCTTAGGCGTGTAGGAATTCAGGGTCAATAACTTATTTTATTGAATGCAAGCAAGAAAACTTATTACTGATCTTCTTTGACAGCGAAAATCCATTGCATTATAGGAGATAAGGGGAAGATTGAAGCTCTTGCATCCTAAGCGATAAAGCATATCTAAACAAACCAAAACAAAACAGCTAAAGCATAGGAAATAAATCAAACTAAAAGGCCTAAATCTTATCACAATAAAAAAGAAGACCAAAAATAATCCTAAGCGCCTAAAGGGAACTAACTAAATACCAACAAGTCTTAACTAACTAAAGTAAAACAACTACAATTAAGTTGATTAAATTGATAATGATTTCCAACAAGGTACTTAATGATCAAAATCAAGCTGGACCTTGATACAGAGTGGAGCAAATGGATGATCACCCTGTTCCTGGAGATCCTCAATATGGGTCATCTGAGAAATTCTGTTACGTCTCTCCTGCTCAATATCCTCATCAGATTCTGCATAGGAGTTAGAAATAAGAGCTAGCTCCACACGGAATGGAAGAGGAAACAAGAAACAGGTTGGGCCAATAACCGTGTCTCGTTCTTGCAAGAGCTTCTGCAACTGCTCTTTGGTGTTCCATCTCCGTATCTACATATATGCGTTCAAATCAAACTCATCAGCCCATCAAACAGCAAAAATACCGCATGCATACTGAACCAAAAACTCTTCATTTCTTTTCATGCGCCCGAAAAAAAAAGAAGAAGAAGAAATCCTTGTAGCTTCTTTGATTTCTCTCTGACGTAGGCTAAATCATGCAGAAATTTCCTACATAAAATTACTGAAAGAAGTAGAACACTCAAGAAACCTTGCTCCATGTAGAACTACATAAACAACACACCTTACAATTTTGAATATGAAAAAAAGAAAAAGCAAATGTAATGTCAGAGAAGTTTTCTCTCTGAAGTGCATTAAATATCAGGGATCAATCTCACCAAGATATAAAATACTTATAAATATTTACAGACTTAACAAACACAGACCTGTATTGTCTGTCTACAAAGACGTGTTAATTTCAAGACAATATGTAAGGTGTATACTCACTTAGCAGATATGGTGAAGAGATGCAACAAATCAATATGAATCAAATATAGTTATAATTATGTCTAGTAAATGTGAGGGGAAAAAACATTACCTAAAGGTCTTCCTTCAAGCACAACTGCACCTTGCCGGTTAAGATCTTGCACTAAAGTTCTCCGACACAGTTGATGTTGCACTTCAGATACTTCCTTGCTACCATCACGGAAGATCCCATGATCCTTCTCACCAAAAGAGCACAAAAAGTAAGGAAAACAAGAAGTCAATGACCTAATGCTTCTCAAGCAATACTGCAAACAGATACATATACAAAAATTTTCAATGACTAATCTTGAGGAGATGGTATGATATAGGATAATATCTGCATAACCAAGTAAAAGTCATCTTGTATCTGCTAACATAATGTTTGAGCACAAATATCAAATTTTCAGGTCTTCCAATATATCTTTTATAATTTCTTCTTCTAAACTTCCATAGAAACCTACACTATAAATGGTTCAAATCCCTTTAGACAACAAATAAAAATAAAAAAAACAAAGAAATTCACATGGTTGCAAATTACTCCTCCACTTAAATCCATAGCAATATATAAAAAATGCATTAAATGAAAAACTGAAGATAAATATAGACACAGAATAATCGTATCAACAATGTAAAAAAAACTTCTATAGTAGATAGAGGATTTCATTCACCATACAGGAAGATGAGTGTAATCATCTCCTTGATCTGCTTCCATGTCTAAAGTTGGATCAACCCGTCGAACCTGCAAACATACATAAAAGGAGGGTGAAAATATTTTCACATAATTTGAATGGAAATGAGAATGAAGCCCATGGATCCCTATAAAAAATGAATAAAATGAGATAGACCTTCTTTCGAGACTCTGTTTCTAATATCTCATCATCTTTCAGAAAAACAGCAAGCTCCTCATCTTCAGCAGCTTCAGCAGCTGCTGCAACAGCATTTTTGGTACTGTGGAGGTATTCAGCTCTAAAATACTTAGTCCAAAAATCCTTCTCTGTCATCTAGAATTAAAAGACAATTTGAGAATTGATAACAACGCTTTAAATAGAAAATGATGTAAATGATTTTATGCCAATGTCCATCAGAGACATAAAACAAAATACAGGAAAACTTCTAAGTACAGTGATGTACCTTACTAGGGACAAAATTAAGGAATGCCTGGTGAACGGCTGGTTTCAGGGCAAAAATCTGGAAAGATAAGAATGTAAAATATATAAATAAATAAAATAAGGAAATAGGGAGCCTCATCCATCAAGTAAGCATTCAAAGAAAGCAATTCTTAGATGTAACTTATAAGAGCTGTATGATGTAGCTTAGAATATTATTGGTCAAGCAGAACTCATAAGCCAGACAAACAGTGAAAAAGTAAGATGTCAGTTAATGTGTCAAGCAAATAACTTCACTTTCCAAACAAACCATGTTATTTATATGCCAATACAACAAAAAAATAGCACAGAAGTTTATCATGCAGATAGTTTGTCCAGAATTATACAAACCCTTGAGCAATTTTGCCTAATGCTCGACAACATGATAGTCATAGTGAACCAAATTTTTGTCCAGTACACAGCAGGATAAATCAACTCCACATTGTGCCATTGGATAAAATATCCCACAATTTACTTAAACATCTGATTGACAAGTGAAGGACAGAGTTGCATGAAGAAACATACCTGATATTTTATCTCTGGTGTTAAACTGAATGTAACCTGATTGGTCTGAAAAAACAGATCAAGACAAGTAAATATAATAATAACAAATAAACATACCTGAAACAAAATTTTATGCATAAAACTTAAAACATACTAGAGATGATTTATAAAGACAATAACTAGAGAGAGAATCAATCATGTAAATTTAATTTCCATTTATCACAGCACAATTGGGCATTCAAAAGCTTTGGAAATGTAAGTTCCACACTCAAAGGAGAATTCATTTTTCCCACTCTTCAAATTGACATGTGTCAAAATACTTTATCACATGCAACAAACAAGTAATTAGATCAACAGGTTTCTCGATATGGCAGCCAACTGTCCAGCCAAATAGCACAACATATAGAGGCATCATAGAGACACAACACCAAGAAGCAGAAGGAGAAGCAGTAACATACCCGACCATCACTCATAGGCTTTGTGTCAAAGATCATAGAATTTTTAAAGCCAACCTGCTGTTTCGACTTTCTGCTTTCATCTCTATCCAGCAATTTCTGCAACAAGTTTTAGTTAAAAAACTTAACATAGTATTTACAATGGTAGAATTCCTTTTAGCGTAATAAGAAAAAGCCAAAAATCATGTGTTTGACTTTAAAATGACACGCCATTTGTAAATCAAGTGTCAGAATAGAGCAGCAGCTACTCGTGTGTTAAAATCTTCTGGTTGGGCCCATTCTAGTTTTGGCCGATTTTATTGTCATGTTATGGATTTAAAAATAGAGAGTTAGTGATACCATTTTCTTATCTACCTTTTCACTTTCCCAGTGACACAGATTAGAATAGGAATTAAAAATATGAGCTAATAATAATTATTTTCAGAAAAATTATTTTACCTTCCTTGTAGCCCAAAACTCTGATTCTGTCAGCTTACCACAGGCCACAAGTTCCCTGTGAAGCTTCTGCAACTTGCTGCATAAATTGAACTACTGAACCATTGATAAAAGGTTGGACCCAAAAAGATATAAAGCTGGGTTGGTTAACCTTTAAGTAACCAAAGCATAAAATTGGAATCCAATAATAATACCAACAGGAGATATGAAATCGTAAGTTATATTGCTATACCACAATGTTCTGAGCCACAACAACTAAAAAATTATATAATCAGAGGAAAAGCACTACCAATGAGTTAACATGAAACCCAAGGTAGCATAAAATATTTCACAATTTATCCCTCTATACTGAAATAGGCTACAGAATCACCCTTAATTCATCTCTTATAAATATGACAAAGTACGCTTCCCAATGAGCATATAATCCAAATACCTATCTTCCTGCAGTAGCTTAATTCTAAGCTCCATTTCAGCAGGACTTAGCTGCTCCCCAGACATAGCTGGTGGAGCTTCACCAGACCTGTTGCGGGAGAGGGCAATACCTGCTTAGAGAAAACCAAAATGCATGTTTTGATAAATAATTTCAACCAATGAATTAAAATAAAGTAATATTGAGAGATTAGAAAAAAGTTGATAAAAGCATGCTAAATTCAAAAATTCACATTGAGTACCTGATGTACCATCAATCCTTTTCACTTCACACACAATATTGATATTTAAAAAAAAATGAAAAAGATACACACCTCAAACACTTTTAATACAGATTTCTGCAGCAATGTATCAATTTTTCTTGTCGCCAGGGGGCAAAAGGTGATCAAACAGCTATATTTTAGCAAGTCAAACTCCTACCATGTATACAACAACATGATTATCCCACTAGATGGGGAGTCCATATCCATGAGATATTCAATAGAGTTTTATGTTAGTTGTCAAGGGCCCAACACAAACCTCCTCCATGTCAAATTTCTAATATGTATATAATATGTAAATATAATGATGCGGGTAATACATACAGACAGCTGATTGTCAAATATATATTTACTCTTAATTATTAAAACCAATTATTAACCAAACAAAAGACTCACCACCCCCCTCCCAGGAAAAGGCAAAAGTCAATTCAATCATTCGGAGAAAGACATAAAAAAGATAAGTTACAAAAATCACATCATCATTCACCAACAGTAGAAAGCAACATATTTTGTTAATAAAAAAAACAAATCTTCAAATGAATGTTGGAACATTAATTTAGCAAAAGTCTAAAACCAGCCTTCTGACTTACTAGAAACTTACCCACAAATTCTCGACATACATTTAGATCTGGATAGCTTTCTAACTCGAATATGTAATTTCCCTGAAATGACACATAATCATAATCTACAGACTCATTTAAGAATAATCAGAAAAACAAAGTAAACTAAAGTAATACTGAGTGAATCTAAGCAAATGCAACCAACAAATTGGCAATCCAATAATTAGTAATCTAATTCCTATTCCTATAAAATATAATTATAAAGCACAAAAAGCATCGTACACAAGGCTCAACTCAGGAAACAGAAAATTATGCACTAAAGGAGATTGAAATTGCAAGAGTCAAAAAAAAACTGAAGAAAAACCTGAGAATGGCCAAGGTTAAGCCAAGGTGGCCTGTTTGATCCTTCTTTGGTGTGTTTGTGACCTGAATTTTGCAAGCAGAATAGAATGAAAGATATTATAACTCTCCTCATGGACACACACAAACAACAACAACAACAAAGGACTTAGATTGCATAGAGATAGATGAGATCGCATTGAATAAAACCAACATGAAAGACTTCATAAATACTTTATTAATTAAAATGGACTGGCCTTATGTGTAACAAATCTTAAAATAAACATTAACAACAACAATAACAAAAAATATTAAGTACTCTGTATAGTTTTGAAGTCAACTTCAAGCTTCATGTTTGAAGTTGGATCATTAGGCCTAAAAAGAAACTTCTCCTCAGCCTGCATAAAAAGGAAGAAATATTTCAACAATCATCAGCAATAGCCACGCAACAACAGCCAGTGTCAAATATGCCTATAACAAATCTATGAATTTGAGTCATCAGAAGTTTTAAAATTCAAAAACAACCAAGTCTTGATCAAGCAAAAACAAAAGATTTATATATTTTGTGAGACACTATAAAGAGATTCGAAAAATAATTTATTTCAAGTCATTTTCAAACTTCCTCCATATCAAGACATTATATATATATATATATATATATTTGGTGTGTGAGACAATATTTTATTTTATCTTGCTCTGCTTAAAGCGATAGTATTTTGACACTTTTCAAGCCTTAGCCCAATTTTAGTTTACACGAGTGGTTTAAATGTCGAGCATGACTATCTCTAAAGTCTAGTAAGGAGAATTATTAAAGGCATTTTTGCCTGTTCAAATGCGCTAATGATTTCAAAATTCTGGCTTGCTGATAACACTGTACTCTTTTTAGAAGAAGACAGAAAGTTTTACAAAGACTCTCTTGTTCAGATTTTAACGGTCGTCTCTTGGCTTCAGATTACTTTTGGGGGAGAAGTGACGTGCCTGGTCTTCACGTGTCTAGTGGGGATTCAGGCTTTTGGCTCCATAAGTCTGTCGGATTCTTCAGTGGCCACTCCATATTTGGGTACTCCTTTAGGAAGAGACCTAAAACTCTGCGTACTTAGCCTATAATTTGTTGCATCCCAGAGTCTTTTGGAGGATGTCATGTTCTCCTATTTTGTAATTCTTAATTCTTTATTTTCACAATACATTTCTTTTGCACTTAAAAGGAGAAATGAACAGTAAAGAACAACTCATACAAGATAACACAAATCGGATGGACAATGTAAATGGGTTTCTAAGGAATAGTAACAAATAATGGAAAACAGCCAAAAAAAAAAGGGAGAACATCAATGGTGCTTAAAAGGATCGTACCAATTTCAGCACCCCAGGAGTGCCAGGATCTTTCAGAGAAGTTTTGTATTTGGCGCGCTTGATTACTTGTCCAGTAGACATATTAACCCGGAGCTACTGAAGTTACAGCCGATTGAACTGAGACAATCAGATCTCACATCAGACCACAACTTTAAAATCTGTCTGAAGTTTCATGAAAGCCTGCAGACTGTTGAGAAGAAATATTCTTCAAACAATTTACACGGAAAGCAGGTTGCGCTGATCAGAAATAGAAGCCAAAAAAATCAGCGCCAAGCTAAACTCTATAACCTAAGGATCTTCATTCCTGCTGCTTTAGGCATCGATGTGGGCAGAAAAAAACGAGGATTCAGTAGGAAAGACAAAGGGAACCAGACCCGCCCATGGGAAATAACAAGGGAGATGTGATTTCAGGCGCCTGTGCTCGCAAAACAGATACAGCGCAGAGTAGGCGGTGCTGCCGTAGACGGTGTCCAGTTCAGATGGTTAAAAAATTGGGGGAAGAAAATAGAAAGAGTGAAGCTACGAGGGAGAGTGTAAACAAACTGATGATATTGAAGAACGGTGAAAAATAAGATCGATGATCAACCCCCTACGGCACCGAATTTTAGGATTTTTACTTCTCAGTAACAGGCGGTTCCAGACAGAATTGAACCAGCTCTCGAGAGAATCGCTTCTGCCTTTCCGGTGCCAAGTAGGTGGCGCTACCCTCTTCTGCCTACAGTGTCTGTGGAGTCTGGTGAAGGACCCAACAGGCAACTGGGGATGTGAAGGAGGATGACCGTGCCCTCAAAATATAAACATTGCTTTTCACTCATTGACTCGTTGTCCCCCCAACTTTGTCATTATTTATTGTGTCACGCGAAGCATAATAAGATCAAGATTCAAGAAGATTAAGTTCAAAATGTTGGTTAAAAAAAAAAAATTTGGAGTTCAAATTTAATATCATAGCTTGCCCTAATCCTTTTGGGAAAAAAAATCCTATCATTGCCGATTCATAGTGTGTTATAAAAGGCTAAGAAACTATTAACAATTTAACAGAAACAAAAGAAAAATGGAAAGATAAAGAAGTGAAGGAGAATTCACATTTACTGACCTCCAATCCTTTATTCTGGGGCTTCATTTAATCCTATACTCAAGATTTACAATTTCATAAATAAAAAATTATTCTATATTATCGATATAATATGAAACTATTATAAATTATAGAAGTAAATATTAAAAAATTATCCATTTAAAATTTATCAAGTATGATAATATTAACCATGAGATGAAGTTCTAAAAAGCTATAGAATTATGGTTTTAGACATTCACTCATTAGATCATATTATTTAGAGAAAATGATAAAAAAAAATCTATTTAAATTATGTAAATGATAGAGTGATTTCACGAAATTGCAAAATTTTTTTGGAATCCCATGAATTTTTTCTATCATTAGAGAATTAAAAGAAATGATCAAATTGCCCTCAAATAAGGTAAAAATCCTAAGCTTAAGTGCAAAATCATTTTTGCATTTTCTAGCCTCTACTTCATCTTCTTGTTCTCCTCTTAGCCTCCTCTTCATGCACTTCTTTTGGTTCGTCTCTCTCCCTTTCTCCTCCTTGTTTGTCTTATTTCTTTTTGATTTTCTATACGTCGGTGATTTATTTTGTTGAGCTGCTATGTGTAGGTGTATATAAGCAATCATTCTTCCTCTGTTAGCTATACTATATGTGGGTAAATCTTTTCTCCTCCTTAAAAATTTCTCCTCCCATATGTGATAGTTAAAGTTGATGTAAGTTAACGTATGTAAAGATTAAGGTCATCATTTTCTTTTCATGATTGAGGTTTTCATTTTCTTTGCTGTATGTGAGTATAGATGCTTACTCATGGATAAATGACAAATGATATATCATTTTTAGTTGTATTGTAAATGCATAAATTAAAGTTATGAATGACCAATATAAAATTTTGTATATAAAAAAATAGTTATTGTTGGATAAAACATAACAAATACGTGATTATGATGTTTGAAAAATAAATATGTTAATGAATGGCTATTTCATTGTTTCAGGTTAGCATAAGAAATAGTTTTTCTTGGTTCTAGTTTTGGAAAGGAACTATTTTATTATTTTCATAAAGGGAGACATTTTGCAAAAAAATATTGAAGGTAAAATACAATATGATGGGAAAGAAAAGAGATGACACTAAAAGATTCAACTCTTTATATATTTTCATCAAAAGGGTTATAGGGTATTTTGATGCACATTCACTAACAACAAAACATTAGATAGTTATTACTTTTTAAGATTTTATCGTTATTTAAATTAATAAAAGTTGTTACTTCTTGAATTAGAGTGGTGATTCATTTTTGTTAATTTAGTCAATTTATAGAGAGTACTGATAAATTACAATTCCTTATTGCATTATTGCAAATCTAAGGATAAAAGTTGTTAATATAGGAACAAAAATTATAAATGAAGAGTTGTAAATTTTCAACACCTCATGCATATCAAAACTTGTATATGCAAAGTTGTGAATGACTATTGACTTGTTGTGAATTTAAAAATAAAAATTGCTAATATAGGAACAAAGGTTATGAATGAAAAGTTATGAATTTTCAACACCTAATGTATGTCAGGATTTGTATATGTAGGATTGCAAATGACTATTGAATTGTTGAGAATTTAAAAACAAAAGTTGTCAATATAAAAATAAATGTTGTAAAGTTTTAAATTTTTAACACTTAATATGTATAAGGACTTACAATGCAGGATTGTAAATGACTATTGAATTGTTGTAAATTTAAAAATAAAAGTTGTTAATATAAAAATAAAAGTTGTAAATAAAAAGTTATAAGTTTTCAACACCTAATGCATATCAGGACCTATAAATTACTATTAAATTGTTGTGAATTTAGAAATAAAAATTGTTAATGAAAAGTTGCGATTTTTTTAAATTTGAATAAAGGGCAAAAGTGTCATTTCTTATAATTTCCTAGTGACAGAAACATCCACTTTCCAGGAGAATTATGCCATTTCATGGGACCAACTTGTCATTTATATAATTTAAATGGATTTTAATGTCATTTTTCTCAAGAATTTGGAAAAATGATAATAAAATCTCTTTAAATTATATAAATGACAATTTGATCTTGTAAAATGCCATAATTTCACTGAAATTCCTATAAATTTTTTTGTCATTAATGAATTTATATAGATGACCAAATTATTCTTGTTGAAAATAAAATAATTCACAAATTTTTGTTTAAATAACCACAACTTTCCTTTTATATTCATAATAATGCAACAACAAATTACAACTTCGCATGAATCAAGAGAGACATGCGAAGTTATAATTTATTATTGCATTGTTGTGAATATGAGAAGAAAAGTTGTGATTATTTTAAGACCTATTTGATTTTTTTGCATTTCATATTTAAAAAGCAAATTTTTACTTTCAAGATGTCAAAAGTTGTTTAGGTAAAATATCTTGTAGAAAATCACATCTTAAAAACACATTCAAATATTGGTTGAAAGTGGATTTCTAAAATATAATCATTTGAAACTTTTGAAAAATAAGATGTTATCTGACTATACTATTCCAAGTTTAATCTCTTGTTCTTTTATTTAAAAAATAGTTAATTTATTAAAAATATAATAATTATTTAATAATAATAATAATTAAGTATCAAGTTTTTAGCATTATAAATTGAATAATTAATTATATTAATTTTTAGCATTAATGAATAATAAAAATTATAAATTTTATCACATTTTCTAAAATTACAAATTAAAAGAGTACAAATAACTAGAGATTAAATTTTTAGTATTATAAATCAAATTTTATGTTATTTAAAATTTTTATCGTATTTTTAAAATATTTCAAATATATTACATTTGTATAATAAAAATTATAAATCATCATAAATCAATGTCCTTTTTTATAATTGTATATTTAAAAACACATTTCACTATTACAAACCAAACAACTTTCAGCATACTAAAACTGACTTTTAAAAAAATATATTTAAACAAATTTCATCACAATAACTAACTTTTACTAAATTAATTTTTATCAAATAAATTTTTACTAAATAAACTTTTGACAAACTAAAAACTAAACACACACTCAAACAAAACTTGTGAATCATTTTATTTTTAACAAAGGACAATTTGATCATTTATATAAATTTATTAATGACAGAAAAGTATTTATAAACTTTAGTAGAATCATGACATTTTGAGGAAACAAATTATTATTTATATATTTTAGAGAGCTTTTATTATCATGTTTCAAAAAAAAAGTATATTTTATGACAATAATAAAATAAGAAAAATATAATAAAAAATTTTCAAAAATTTATGAATACCAAGTTGAAGAGACTTGCTCCTGTTATCGAACTGTGTATTAGGGAAAAAAATGTACACTACTTTGATAGCTAATGCCCTAGCAAAATTAATGACACTATCATGCAGATCGTGAATCAAATGCAAGTGAGGATAACTCTTGAAAAAAATCAAAGAAAGCAAGACAAGCTTGAAAAAGCAAAGACACTAATCATTCTTGTAAGCTAACAACATATATGTTGATGCAATCCGTGGGACAAGTCATAATCAGCTGAGTGTTCATCCCATCTCCATGGGAGTTCCACGCCATAAAGTCAGCACATCCAATAAGGTCTCTAAGAACATATCAAACAATAACATCTCATCTACTCTATAATATTTCACGAATCTCTCAAACTAAGAATCTCAATGGGTGACACGAGTTGCAATCTCAAAAAATAAGATTCCAAGCCTCAATAATAATAGTAATAGTAATAGTAATAATAAAAGGATGCTAGTTATCCTTTCCTAGCTACATGCTTCAAACCCTGCTTTCAACAATGGAAGTTTGTCCAATACTACATTGAAATCCCAAAGTCTGATCGCTATTAGCATCTATGATAATGCCTTCACGTGCTGCTTGATCGTGAGTACCTATTGACCCACCCATATCCATCCAAAATGTTCCTATTGACAGTGAAAACCATCTTAAGTCATCTCTTGTGGCTTCTTGAAAAATTGCATGTTTGTGAGTATTGCCATTAGACTCCTTAAAGAGGTGCCTAATACACCGATGAATGATATCTTAAGCTGTGATGGTAGAATTTTCAAGAAGTTTGTCGCAATGTGCCTTCCAAATGAGCCAACACGTGTGCAAAAACTTTAGACCATGGCCATCGTTGGAATTTGCCATCGTTGTGATTATGCATAGAGCTCCAGTGAAGTCATCCCTACAAATCCCTAGAAAAAAACATAAAATAATTGTTAGGAGAAATAATGTATTTCCACATTTCTTTGGCAATCTTTGAAAATGTGTATGACACTCTCCTCATGAGGCACTTAAGGGGAAGACTAGCATTATTTGTAAGCCCTTATTTGGCTTTGAGTGAATTCGTCAACAGTCGCTTATGGTTAACATGCGACATGAAGAATTTAATTTTCTTAGGATAAGTCATTTCCAAATTTCCTCCCATGCAGATCTCTTCAGCTCTGTTCAAACATGGATAACTCGAGTAGCAGGCAACAACAATATACAATGACTACATCAAACTTGGTTTATCCGTGACCTTGGGCTTGGTCTAGGTGAGACCATGGGTTAGATAACATGGCCCGTGATCTGGTTCAGTCCGGATGCAATCCAGCAATGGAACGGGATGGGCTTGGTCCTCCAAACTATAAGTTATCATGAGCTTGGCATTTTTTGGATCTGATTATGAGGTTAACACTTGGGTCTCCTATTCGTACAAGCATGAAATAACAGAGAAGAATAACAACAAGGAACATGCAAAAGCATTTCCCAAGGTCTCTTCAACATGCTTGTATTTCCCAAGGTCCCTTCTCAATTTTCTCCAACCTTCACACACACACACACTTTACCAGTAGAGAGGATCTGATATTATATAATTACAATCATTATTATAATTTTATAGTTTCAACTATTTATTGTGCCAACATATGCTGGTAAAAGAATTATTATCAATACATCAATATCAATCATCGATGTATTTATAAAATATACAACAAATTATATAGTAAAATTCAGGCTAGCCAAAACAAAAATAGTAAAATTCAATGTGTATTTAATTTTTAGTTTGCTAATTAAAATTTATTTGGTAAAAGTTTACTTGGCAAAAGTCAGTTTAATGAAAATAAGTTATTGTAATAAAATTTATGTATAGATATATTTTTCAAAAGTCAGTTTAGTACAATAAAAATTGTTTGAATTATAATAGTTAAATGTACTTTTAAACATATAATTATTAAAAAAATATTAATTTATGACGATTTATAATTTTTATTATACAAATGTAGTATATTTAAAATATTTAAAAAATATGAAAAAATTTTAAATAATATAAAATTTGATCTATAGTGCTAAAAACTTAATCTCTAGTTATTTATACCTTTTTAATTTATAATTTTAAAAAATATGATAAATATTTATAATTTTTATTATATAATAATGCTATAATAACCTTAATTAATTATTCAATTTATAATGTTAAAAACTTGATACCTAATTATTATTATTAAAATTATAATTATATTTTTAATAAATAAGATATTTTTTAAATAAAAAAATAAGAAATTAAATTTAGAATAATATGATCGAATAATATTTTATTTTTTAAAAATTTTAAATAATTACATTAATCAGTATTTAAATATATTTTTAAAATATATTTTTTTATAAAATATTTTATTTAAATAATTTTTAATATCTTAAAAGTAAAACCTTACTTTATAAATGTGAAACTGAGGTACCAAATGGACCCTCAGCTTTTTATCTTGGGCATATGTTTTTTTAATTAAAAAACTCATTTTAAAATATGTGAGCATATTTAAATGAACGCGTCCAAAAACCAATCCTATCGTACGGTAGGCCCAGAATGGCTCGCAAGTGGCAAGAAACTGCGGATTTTTCAGAACTGCTCGCGGAACACAATCTCACTAGCTGTTGATCCTCAGAGTCTGGACCTCACAGCCATACGGGTCTTTCCCCTGAATTCACTGGCGTTGCCGTGTTTCCTCCTTAAGTTTGAGCAGAGCCGCTGAACTTGACGAGGTCTGCTGCATCGTGTCGGTTTTTACTCCATTTCCTCGAAAGCATGGGTGAGTTTCAAGAAAGAAAAAACCCTAACATTGCTTCTATATTTTCAGTGCTCGAACTGCATAGAATCATATCGGCAACCTGCAACCCGCCACCCCTTTCCCTGTAGAAGCTCGAGAAGCTGCCTTCAACTGCTCCTTGTTAAAATTTATTTGTACTGCTTGAGGTGAGAACTCTAATTGGTTCACAATGTACATTTTGTTTGCTATTTTCTCACTGTCTTGGTTTACTGTCTACTAATTTGTTTTGAAATCAATATTTTGTTGTAAATTTGCATGTTTCATTCTAATTACCGTAGTATTTTTTTAAAAAATATTTTTGCGAGGTTTGTGGTTTGAGATTTTATTGATGCCTGTTGGCTCAGGAGGAATACGTTTTCAAGTTTCTGGACGCAATTTAATGTATAGAAGCAGCAATATTGCGGCAAGGGTCTTCGAGCGTCAAATTCGCAGCCCTGCTCCTGGCACTAGTGTAAGCTTTTCACTTACAACTAGTCATCTGTGTTTAAAATGCAAAGTTATATGGTGTCATGATACCATTTGGGTAAATTTTGCCATACCTTTATCAGAGGAGTCAAATAGCATTGTCGGGAAATTTTCGGGAAAATTTCAAGTGCTGTCTTGTTCCTATGTTAAAGGAACCTGAGTTGAATTTAATTTTTGCAGGTGTAATTTAATTCTTGCAGGTTCATTATGCTCGGCGGTTGTATGAAAATTTGGTACCAAGTTACACATTGTATGAGGTTGAATGCCCCGACCATTTATTTCGCAAATTTACTGACGATGGTCAATACCTGATAAGTTTCAGCAGAAATCATCAAGAGTTGATTGTTTATAGATCTAGATGGCTCTCTTATTCATGTAAAGATGAAGATTGTGATAAACTTGACTTGCCTCCAAATGCAAAGAGATTTGAGAGTTTTTTCACCCAGTTATATTGTGTATCCCTTGCTTCTTGCAATGAACTTATTTGTAAAGATTTCTTCCTTTACATGGAGGGTAATCAATTTGGTCTGTTTGCTACTTCTACGGCACAAATTCATGATGCACCCGCTGTAGGAGGAGCTGTCCAGGGTGTTCCTTCGATAGAAAAGATAACATTTCACCTCTTGAGGTTCGTGCTCAGGTTTCTTAATATAATTTATTATTATTATTTTTTACAGCCATACTTTGATTCGTCTGTGTTTATTCATTTTTTCTATCAATTTTTAGATTGGAAGATGGAGTTATCCTGGATGAGAAGGTCTTCTGTAATGATTTTGTTAATTTGACCCATAATATGGGCGTCTTCTTGTATGATGACCTTTTGGCCATCGTATCACTTCGCTATCAAACAATACACATTCTTCAAATTAGGGATTCTGGGCACCTTGTTGATGTTCGTGCTATTGGGGCATTCTGCCGTGAAGATGATGAGCTTTTTCTCAATTCAAGTTCTCAGGTTAGCACTATATGCATACTTCTAGTTTATCCCTTTCATACATACTTCTTTTGAAACACTAAAGTATAATGGTCAGAAGCATTTTCTTTAAGTAGCATATATGAATCACTCATCTAACAAGTGAAGTAATTACTGACAGGGCATGTCTTCATATGACAAAAGTAAGCAGCAGCCTGGAAACCATATTCAAAATAATCAGGGCCAACCTAATTTGGAGAATTCTTTCTTGAGTGGCATCAAACAGCGTTTGCTTTCATTCATATTCCGGGGGATCTGGAATGAGGAAAGAGATGATACCTTGGTTGGTTCTTTGGTTTCACCTTTTTATTGGAAATTTTTTTCTTTGCATGTTTCATGCGGTTCTTTGATAGTTCAATGAACAGCTCTTATCTTCTCCTGGGTTGTTCTGTTGCTTGGTTTGGTGTAAATCACTGCTCTTAATTGGGTTATAAGGCTGAACATTCAGGAGCTCGTTGGTAGCATGGACTACTGATGCAACACACACTTGCACAAATCTGAACAGAGGGAGAGAGTAGGGATAAATAGAAACAGAGAGAGAGAGAGAGAGAGAGAGTGGAAAGAAAATAATAAAAGAACAACGGGAGCAAGATGGGAGAACAGAACGCAGAGAGGGTGGGGGAGCTTTTAGAAAATCATAATGGTCAAATATTCATTCATCCAAGTCTACCCATTACAAGTGCAACTTAGTCTGTTTAAACAAAGCTATAATGCCTAATAAGGAAACCTTAATAACATCTTCATATTAAGCTCAGTTTCAGATTTCCTCTTACAAAATAACACATGAGGAAACCTTAATACGGTGTCCATATGAAGCTAGGTTTCAGATTTTCCTGCTTTCAAAATATTAAAATAACATAAAGGAAACTTAATTCTTTCTATAATAATGTTTCGCATTATATCTATCAACTACTTTTTGATATTTGGCAGTTTTATTATTCAATCTCTGTACCTTGTTATAACCCTCTTTCAATGTTATGAGTTTATTACTATAATTTTCTGGATTTGTGGCTGCCAGAGGGTTCAAAGCCTGAAGAAGAAGTTTTACTTTCACTTTCAAGATTATGTTGACTTGATTATGTGGAAGGTAGGTCATCCAGACATTTTATGCATCCTTAAAGATTTTTTATCACATAATTATGAGAAGATGAGCGTGCATTTTTTCATTGGTTTGATCCTTGTTTTCATAGTCATTTTACCCTCTGTGCATCCACTAAGACAAGTTGCTTTATTTAACGCTTGAGCAGGTGCAATTCTTGGACCGATACCACCTGCTAATCAAGTTTGGTAGTGTGGATGGAGGGGTCAGCTTTCTTCTTCTCGTGTTGTTTTATGTTCTAACGATTCCACTGCCTGTGCCTTAGCATCTTGAAATAAAAATTACTTGCAAGGGAAGGCTAAGAGAAAAGAGAATATATGATTGAGCCTGTAAAAATCCTTTAGATATTTGCCTTCTCATTAAATTGGGTGGTTTTGCCTTTCCTATGGAACCTTGGTTGAAATCAGTGTCCTCTTTCCTTGTCAGAGACACATTGGTCATAGGGATCTCATTGTAATCTTAAGGTAGCTTGTTATCTAGGCTTTTAGCTGATTAAGTTTTGGGTAATTTTTCAACCAGAGCCCATTTGGTGAATATCTTGGAAAGGGATGAAATGTAAAAGAAATGTTTTTGAGGAGAGAAATGGTCCCCAAGCTAGTTTAACAAAACAAATGAACAGAGATAACGATTGTTGAGTAACGACTACAAGGACATGATAAACATTGTAAAACAAGGATGGAAAAGGAATCCCTTCCTTCCTTGATAGTAATGTGGCCTTAGAGTGGAATCTGTATTATATTTTCTCTTAAAGTAATATGAATAATATGTGTTGCTCTTTCATGCTTTTAAGCCTCAGGTGTCAAGAAATGCTGATCACCACCCAGCTTTCTTTGCTGTATATAACATGGAGACAACTGAAATTGTATCATTTTATCAGGTGCATTTTTTCATCACCCAATGTTTTATTCTCTTGGACTTTGACTAAATGTTTATAGAGTGCTTCTTATGGGTCTCGTTTCTGACTCTTCTTTACATTTTTAGAATTCTGCAGACAATCTTTATCTTTTGTTTGAGAAGTTCTGCGATCACTTCCATGTAACATCAAGGAATTCTATGTATATGAATTTCATATCATCTCACTCAAATAATATTTATGCTTTGGAGCAATTGCGGATCATAAAGGATAAGGCGAGCAGCTCTTCGCAGGTAGCTGCTTCTGCTGTCTATAACCTCAATCCCCATCCATGAGAAAAAAGAAAATGCAATGTACAATGCGTTAACGTGTAATGTGAATTTAATTTTACTTTGCAGTTTGTGAAGAAGATGCTTGCCTCTTTGCCTTTCAGCTGTCAGTCGCAGAGTCCTTCTCCTTATTTTGACCAATCTCTTTTCCGGTTTGATGACAAGGTATTTTTAAAAGAAAATTTTGGTTTCTACTCTATTTTATTCTTGTACATAATATAATCGCATGCTTTTGCAAGGCTTCTATGGACAGACATGGAATGGTCTTAAGAGAGCGCTAGGCAAATGATTTTATTATTCTAGCAAAGACCGACCTCTGTTGGTTTGTTGTACTAGTACCATATTTCATAGTTTGAGCCTTGAGGTGTGTTCTTCATCCTATTGAATATTAGATTCCTGTAGGAAGTTGGCATATCTCAATCTAAGCTCCCACTTCCCTGTATGGGTGTGAATAAAATTTATTTTTTCTTGAGCTACTAGGACTCAGGGCTCTTGCTAAAAGCTTGAATTTAGATTGGCTTGTTGAGCTTTAAAAATAGCTCATTTAATTTAATATGTAAACTTTTACATGATTTTATCAATGAATAATATGGACAAACGTAGTTGTTTCTATATTGTTGAAATTATTATATAGTCTTCTGTACACATGAATTCATATTCGTAATTTTCTTAGTGGTGAGATGACTCAGTTTATTTAAGAACTACCAAACAATGGTTGGAAGTTGTTAAGCGTTTAATGTACTATGCCTTTTCTTCTTTAAACTCCGCCTCTTCCAGACAAAATATGTGATTTTTAATGAAGATCATTTGATTACGCGTTGATTGCTGGATTTTGGTTTTATTTCTCTCTCTCTCTCTCTCTCTCTAAAATTTTGGTTTTATTGCAGTTGATTTCTGCAACTGATCGGCATAGGCAATCGACAGACCATCCAATCAAGTTCATTCTAAGAAGGCATCCGTATTCGCTCAAATTTAAGATCAAACCAGGTTTGTGTTATTCTCTTATTTTATCATCTATGCATGAGAAAGACACTCAAATGTACTAGTGCCCTCTTCTCTCACTTTTCTCAATTATTGGCAACATGTTTGTGGGATTTCTATTTAAATTGTCTGTGCTTGGTAGTGATCTATAATGTGGTGAACTTTGTTCTTTCAAACTTTGAGCTAGGTCCTGAAGCTGGTAGTATGGATGGCCGAGCCAAGAAGATCTCTTCATTTCTGTTCCATCCATTTTTGCCCCTTGCTCTCTCTGTTCAACAGACTTTGTTCTTGCAGCCATCAGTTGTAAATATTCACTTTCGAAGATGAGGATCGCAGTTTTGTTTTGCCCTACTTCGCTGTAGACAATCTTAACTGAATTGAGAGATTGTATATTTATTCGGTACTTGAAAAATGTTATATTCAAGCGCTGCTAGTTTACGTTTTAATCCTGTGAGCCTGCCAAGTAACTTCTATTTTCCACCCAAATTGTCTCTTGGGAATGCTTACTCGCATCTTGAACTTTAGAGGAAAAAATAATTTTGAAGGAGAAAATTCTGGTACGATTTTCATGTTCATGTTCGGCAAAACAATTATGACTTCCTGGCAAAAACTAACAACAATAAAATAAGAACAATTATATGTATCTCCCTTAAATTTTATTCTAATTATATGCATTTTCTAAAAGAAAATATAAATTGGCTTAAACTTGAAAGGAAATGTAATTAATAATTAATACTAATATAAAATTGCCACCAGCACCAGAAAAGTGAAGTTTTGATCGGCCGGATTAAACCTGGATCTTGTTCATTTACTGGCTGGGATCTTTTAAATCCTAAACCGATACATCCTGCTATTCATGAATTATTTGTCTTATTAATTGTCATTTTCGCCCCTTTTGGGATCCTGTGGTCATAACTAATGTCAGTCCTCGCTCATTGATGGTCCTCGAGAGGAACTATTCAAGATTTCGATTCCTAATAACTGCTGTGTTCAAAAAGACTAGGATATTTTTAGGGTCGCCGCAGAATTAATTTGGATGAACACTAGAGCTATCAGAACATGTCACCAAATTGTATAGCACACCTCACTATTGGTATTACAAGTGATATTTCAAGCACATCAAGCAATCAAACAGACAAAACACAGTACAAAGTCATCTCCATCTTAAAGTAAGGAATACCCAGTTCATTTTAGTTCACATTTCCACACCATAACTCTAGTAGTTTAAGCGGACAATGATCCTCAGCAACGTCTCGGCACCATCTGTGGCAATCTGGCCTGGTGGAATAAGTGATCTAACCTCTGCAAGGCCCCTTGCATTCTTGAACTTGCCAGTTCCTCCTGTCACAGACAATTGCGACATGGTGCTCCCAATCTTGTACACGCCATAAAAGTTCAAGCTATCACCATATTCCCCTCCTTCAAACATGGCTGTGAATACCATCATCTGTCTAATCCCATCTGCTGAACTTGCCACATACACACCTTGAGCCTTCCCAATTGTCTGGGACCCCAACTCGGGCTGAGAGGTCAAGAAATCATCAATCACACTGATTGTACCAAACCCTAGTCCCAACCCATCATTTCCTAACAGTGGCTGATTACCGTTGTTGTTGTTGTTGTTAGCCGAGTTCCCTCCAACAAAAGCAGTTCCAGACAAGCCAGTTCCTAGTGGGATTCCAGTAACTCCGTTGACGGTGGGGATGGCACCATTTGCATTAGGGATGGGAACTGCACCATCTGGCGTGTTGAATCCTACTGCTTCTGGAAAAGGTACTTGACCATTGTATATGCTGCCCAACAAGCCTGTTACTGGACGAGCTGTGGGGTTTCCTCCTCCAAGAATGTCATGCATATACAATTCGATAATGGGTTCTTTTCCGGTGGCTGAAACAGGGTCCACTGCTGCTATACTTATTGCCAAGTGTGCGAGACCAAGCATTATTGCCAGGAAGGTTGAAGCTGAGGATCCCATAGACTTGGTATGCTTGATTGAGAGAGGAATCTTGCTTAGTTGCATGAGATGCAATGAAATGCCAAGTGCTGGTCTTATATAGGAGAGAATTCAGAATGAGATGGAGTGGTTGTGTTGAGATATGAATGTGGTGGAAGTGAAGTTGTTGGCAGTAGTCACGGAAAAAGTAGGCCCTTCATGGCTAGCGAAACTAGAATATGAGCGTTGTTTCTGTTCAGTTGCATGAGAGAAGCTCATATTTTGCTGAGAAGTTGAAGACTTTGAGAGGTAGGTGTAGCTAAACCAAACACTCATTTGGAAACATTAATTATTATTATCATTATTGAACCCATATCCATATGTTCAAAAAAAAAAAAAACGAGACTATTAAAGCTAATTTCTCATGCGGAACTCTGATAGAAAAATTAAAACAAATTTTTTTTTTTTTTGGGGGTCCGTATGGTCAGTGTTTATGCGCTTTCAACGTCCTTCTATTATTCAAAAGGTAAGTTAATTGCAAGACAAATCTACCTTTTCTGTTCTTTTCCCGGTATGGCCAGTTTTCAGACGCTTTCAACTTCTTTGGATTGTTAAAGAAAAATTCAAGAAAATTATTTTTTTGCAAAAAAAAAAAATCAAGCAAATTAAAAGACAGGTATTTTTCTCAAATCTCAATTTTATAATTGTTTTATTTCAAGAGATTAAAATATAATTTCACCGATAAATGATATCAACTAGGGAAAGCACTATTAAATTTAAAACTACTAATATATCATGTAGGAGGGTAGATTATTTTTAATTTATGAATAATACAGTTTATTTTATATTTCGTGTGCTCCAGTCTAATTTCTTTTTAATTCAAGTAGGAAAATTATTTTTGCAACGATTAAAATTAATGAATGCATCAATATAAAATACAAAATTTATAGAGAAAAATTACCACAAGCCGGAAGTATAATTTAATGTGACTTTGTAATAAGTCAACCAAGCTAAATTGTGGCCGAAAACAAAAGAAAAAAAAAGCCAAGGACAATTCCTGCGTCTTGGGCCAAAGTATTGGATTTCGGCGATTCCGTTTTGGCGCTCTGGTTCGGGACATCTGGATGCTTCATTTTGGCGTGCTCGAGGCTCACGCTGTTACATGGAATCCAACCAAAGCGAAGTCACCGATTGGGGCCGCAAGGCATGGACTCTGCTCGACTTAGTCCGACGCCGATCGCCGCTTATTCAATGCATCACCAACTTCGTCTCCATGGATCTTATGGCCAATACCCTCTTATCCGCCGGCGCCTCTCCTGCTATGCTTCACTCTATTGAAGAGATTCCTGACTTCACTCCACGCGCTCACGCTCTCTCCATCAACATTGGCACTCTCTCCCTTCTTGGTTTCCTGCCATGAAAGCCGCCGCCGCTTTGGCTTCTGAGTTGGGTAAGCCCTGGGTACTTGATCCGGTTGCTGTTAGTGCCTCTGCTTTCCGCAGGAAAGCTTGTCTCGAGCTTGTGGCGATGAAGCCTACTGTTATTAGAGGGAACGCCTCTGAGATTATTGCTCTCTTCAAGGCTGCTTCTTCTCCTTCTTCCACTGAACCGGCCGCTAAGGTAACGCATTCTGTTTCTCTCAAACTCTGCAGAACGCAGAGCAATTATTATTTCAGTATATATTTTATCCATTAAATTGTAACGAAGGTCGTGTAGTTGTGGAAAATTTTTGTATAAACTATTCATTTAGAGGTTGGAGTAGTAGCATTTGGCATAAAAAGTTCTCTGTGTCCAGGAAAAGCTATGGTAAAAGTTCCTAGTAACTTCTGATAAGAAAAATATCCAAAGTACTTATTTACATATGGTGGTTTACGAATTTTAGGTATCTAAGTATGTCTTTTGGTTTGAAATTTCTGTGATTGTAATGTTTATGTTCTTCTGGTGATATCTAAGTCAGTCTGTTTGCAGGGAGAATGAAGGCTGGAATTATGTTAGATAATATATCAAGTATAGATTATAGAATAAATATATATATGCACAAATGCTCTGCTGTCTTTAGTTGCTAATTATGCATTATTTTTTTTTATTTCTGAATGCTTTCTAGTGGAAGGTTCTATGTTGAATGCTAAATTTCCTGTTTCATTTGAAGAGATTTAGGTTTGCTAATTTATTTGGGAGGACCAGTCTTGTGTGATGTCTTCACATAGTAAGCAAAAGTATAATTACTTGTTTACCCTTTTTCGTTCTCTCTATTTTAATCCCTGTCAGCCACTGAGTTGAACCTGAACTTGATTTGGGGATGGTTTGAGCGTCTTGGCCATTGATTGGGTGTTTAAAAGTTGGGGGTCGGCAAGGATGATTTGGAAACCATCCTTAGCCTTGTCACTCTTCAGTTTTCAAAACCATCCAAACTGGGTAATTTGGAATGGTTTGAATTCTTATAAGTCTCCGTTTTCTTTTGAACCCTATTTCCTTTCCTTTCATAAAATGTAAATGGTTGACACCAACGACAATATGGGAAATTGCACAATTCAAACTCACCCCACAATCTGTGGCGGGTGAGAGGCCATCTATTTTTACATTAAGTTTTCTGGGCAATGGATTGGATTGTTCTACCCATCCCGCTCCATATCACTGCACCTCACTTTATTACAATGAAAGTAATCTCTCGGAGAACATGTGCTTGGACTTTTGAACTTACTTTGCCTCCGCCATTAACAAGTTTTTTGATGCCATCATACTGATAAAATCTCTAATGATGACAGTAGTATCAAGTGCCAAAACTTTTGCTTCATCAGTAGATTGTGAGAGGATTCTCTGAACTACTGGTCTGAATTCCATTCATACAATGGTCTCTTGCAGCAAGCCATGTGATTTACTTTGTAATTCTCGAGAATTTTCTTGCCTCAAGAGGAAGTATATATCAGGGACTAATTCTGAGGACCTGAACATTAGATTTCTTCTTCTGCATCTTCCTTTATTCTAAGAAGCTGTTGTGATTCCATTTTTGTAATTTAGCTTTATTGTCAAGGGTGTGGACAGCATCCATGAGTCAGTGGATGCGATTGAAGCGGCAAATTATTGGCCGAATCAAGCAGTGTCATAGTTGCAGTATCTGGAGCCATTGACATAGTGACTGATGGAAAGCAAGTTGTTGGTGCTCACAATGGGGTGGCAATGTTGCAGAAGATAACAGCTACTGGATGTTCAGTCTCTTCCCTCATTGCTGCCTTTGTAGCTGTTGATCAACTCCATGCTTTGGATGCTGCAGCAGCAGCATTATCCATATTTGGTGTTGCTGGTGAACTGGGAATGAAGATGGCTAGAGGTCCAGCTTCACTGCGAATGCACTTGATAGATTCTCTGTACGGGCTTGATGAAGCAGCTGTGATATCTCATGTTAAAATCACAAATTTCTCTTAAATCTGTTTTATTCATTTTCAAAAACAAGAAAGAAAGAAAGAAAAATCTGTATGTAATTATTATTGGATTTGGGTTAGTCATAGATCTGGACTATAGTCCCCGTATGGTGATCAACTGAACATGAACAAGGATCAGTGGATGGCATTTCAAACCTGAATATTATGTGAATGATATTAATAATTACTGGTAACTCCTATTTGAACAAGTTTGTGGGAGTTCCGTTTCTGTCATTGTTGCATATTAGTATGGTACAAAATTTCTCGCTCATGATCATTGTCTCTTGCTGATAGCATCGAATTTAAAATTTGTTTCTATTTCTTTGTATCTTGAACAATAAATATTCATTGCCTTTTAAAAGTTATTCTTGATGTATATCAGTTTTTATAATTTTACGTATTGATTGATATTTCTTTCTTTTTGGAAAAAAAAAAGAAAAAGAAATCATTTTCCCTATTCTTCAGTCTAAAATGCCAATGTTTTTTTTTTAATGGATTTGGTATGTCATGCCATTTATCTTTATCTTCACAAAAGCATTCTATTCTAACTACATTTTTTTTAAATTCTAATTAATATATTGCATAATAATATATATTATATAAAATTTAAAAAAATAATGATCGTAACTTGATGGGGGAAACTAGTATGCTAAAGTGCTTCAAGCCCAAACTTCGAATTGCACTTACGTTGCTTTTTATAGTTGTTGCATTTATTCTGTAAAAACTCTCGGGTTAATCTATAATTGATTTTCTCTTGAACTGTTATTTTTAATTAATACTCCCCCCATCCTCTATGTAAGTCAATTTTAACTCACGCATCAATACCCAGGCAAGTTAGTTAAAGACTTCAAGTAATAAAATTATTTTAAAATTAAACCGCTCTCCTTTTTGTTCTTGAATTTAAATAAAAATAATTTGACATAAAGAAAAAGTTTTATTAGAAATTGAAACGATGCATTTCTTTTTAGAGTATGCAATAGGATATTTTTAAAAGGAAAAATCGTAATGAAGGACTTGTATATCAACTTATTCGCAAAAAGAATCAAAGGATTTTGAAATTATCGTGCATAATCAAGAGATTAAAATATAATTAAAATTTAAAGTAAAAAGACATAATTATTCCTCATTTAAAAAAAAAATTCCCCCATGCCACTAAACTAGCAATTTTTTTTAATTATATAATGGAAATTTTTTTATATATTTTAATTTTGTTTTCACTTTTCAAGTTAATATTTATCAAAAACTTAATGGTCACTTATTATTTCACAAATGACTACTTATTAAGTTATAAATGATTACTTATTATTTCATTTATAAAAATCAGTGTATATTAAGTCTTTTAATAAGTTTTATTGATAATTTAATAAATAACTATCTGTAAAATGATAAATAACTGTAAACTCTTAACAAGTATTCACATGAAAAGTAAAAATAAATGAATATACATATACATATACATATATACATATATACATATATACATATATATATATATATATATTTGCATTATATAATTAAAAGTGATTGCTTGCAATCCTTTTGGGTAGTCAAGGAGTTGTAGGGTCAAACTCCCTTGAAAAAAAAATTGATTCTTGTCCATCATAAGTTCAGTTATTAGAGCAAGAGCTCCAACGACTAGTGACGGTAGGGAAAAATGCAAAAAAGAAATGAGAGACTCTTGTCTTTTCATATTAAATTTTAATTATATTTTAATCCCTTAATCTTGCAAAGCAATTCTAGAATCTTTTGATTCTTTTTCACAAATAAATTTCTATACAAATCCTTCATTGTGATTTTTTCTTTTTAAATTTTGAATCAAAAATTGTATAAAATAAGAGAAAATGACTTGAATTAAGTATCAAAATAATCTTTTAAAAGGTAACTGTAACACACCAAATTATTTTTTTTTTAAATAATTTAACTCAACCATAGTTGGGTTACAACCACCCAACACATTTTTATATCAATAATTTTGATATAAAATATTTTATAATTGGCTTCAACTTACACACTATAACATTTCAGATAAATTTTTACCTCCCACATGCCATTAGGCTAAATCACATTTGTCCATCCTTATACTCCCAACAAGTAAACTAAATCACATTTGTCCATCCTTATACTCCCAACAAGTAAAATAAGCAATTTAGTCAATTTTCAACACAAGCCAGTTATTTGGCCTTATAATCATGCCATTTTAACCAATCCAAAGTAAACCAATATTAAAATTACAGTCATCCAAATTGTACCAAAAATAGAAATAGTTTGAAAGGCATGATTACATTTATATATTCATATAATTGACAATAAACATAAAAAAGTCCTAATATTGGCAATATAACACATTATAAATCATAAATTAAATACCCAAAAGAGACAGTGGATCTATACCACTAAGCCTCTGGGACTCCTCCACGTGTCACTCTTGGCTCTTCTCTTGAAAATTGTTAACCACATAATGAGACTCAAAAGTCCCAGTAACCAAAGCCAATTTATGATAGTGTATACAAACAGTTAAGTGTGTGCTTACTAAGTGAGAATTAAAAATAATATAATTCTAACAAATATAAGAAATATTATAATAAACACAAACAACCATCCTTATATCCCTCCATTAACCTCGAGCCGTAGCCCTCACTCGGTACTAAATTACCGGCCAAAGGTAGATTAGCCCGAGCCCTTACAAACCACCTATTGAGCTCCAATAGGGGCGTACCACGTGGCACATAAATACAACAACAATAGCAAGTCTCCCAACACCTCCCACAATAATTAAACAAATTCATAATAATATTGCACAATTATACAATATTACAAAATTCATAATTTTCTCAATAATCACCCAATTAACAAGAAGTAACACTAATCACAAATTAAAAGCATGGTTACCTTGTGGCTTTTTCAATAAATTATTCCTTAAAATTTCTCTCTCACCACAATCTTCACCAGTAATACAATCTACAAATAACATATTATTTATAAATATTAGTTTCAATTTTTGAAACTAATAAAATAATTCTAATAATAGAATTAAAAATATAACATAATTCTTAATCTCAATCTTAATACAAATCTATAGTTAATACTATTAAGTATAGTTTTTAACTCCTCTTTTAATTATCAATAAACATTGATAATCTAAAAATCAAATTTTAAACTAATTTCTATTATCAAAATTTTCTTTTATTTTATAAATTCGTACCTAAAATACCCAAAAATTAAAAATTAAGTCTCTAGCTTAGAATCATAATCCTATAACCATAATAATTCATTTCTCATCCCAAATAATCATCTAAACCTCAATAAATCAACATATATTTTCAGATCTAGTTTAGAATTTGATCCATAAGCCATAAATTCAAAGATCATTAACAAATTTATACTTATAACATTTATTATACTACTGACAACCTCAAAAACCATATTTATTCAACATAAATTCATCCCTCTTTCAGATCTTAAATTTTCTACCACTACAAACTCAGAAACTAAAGAAGAAGGATGACTAAGAAAAATTTTTAGAACACTTACTTAGTCTTGAAAAGCTTAAAATCACACCCTAAATATCCTATTAAAAACTCTTACCTTAAAACCCAGCACCGGTGAATTTGGCTCACAGATGCTCTCTCTGCCGAAGCTCACGCACGAAAGAAGGAATGAAGAAAGAAGGAACAGGTGAGTTTTTATAAAAATTCAGTGGGTCCCACATTTTTTTTAATATTTTCTCTCTCTTCTTCTTCTTTTCTTATTATATTATTTTTTATTGTTACTGTTGAGGCGGCGGACGAAGCAAATTCGTGTTCTTCTTCTTCTTCCTTTCTTTTCCTTTCTTTCTTTTTTATAATAGAAGATATAATTTTATAATTATTTTATTTTTTTTTTATTATTATTAGTTTTATTTTTTGATGTTATTTTTATTTTATTTATTTTTTTTTCATACCTTTTTTTTATAATAATAATGGAATAATACTTTTTAAATTTGTTATCAACCCATAAGTAACTATTAAAATTTAAATTGGGATGTTACATTAACTAATAAATAGAACGGAATGTTTCATTCCATCATACATAATTACACAAATTAATTGTTCTTTTGATATGAAATATATTAAAAAGCTCACAGATATTCTACTAAAGAAAGAAAGTATGCCAATGGATAAACAAAAAAAAAATATATATATATATATATATTAATTTTCTAACTTTATATAATGTTTTTAGTTTAGTTTATTAGTTTTCAATCTTTTCAATATTCTTGCAGTCTCAAATAATTTTTTATATCGATTATTATTAGTTTAAAAAATTAATTTTAACATATTAATATTTAAAAATATTTTGTCAACATTTAAAATTTTAATATCTGCATTTTTTGTTAAAAAATTAATATTGATAGGATTAAAATATTAAATAATATTTTATAAAATTAAGAATGAAATAAAAGCTTTTATAAAAATTAAAGCATCACAGATGTAATTTGTCTAACAGAAGTTAAACTGTAAACTTCCGTTCTTGCCCCAATTTATCTTCTTACAGAGACACGATGTCAGAGAAATTCCGATTCCTCAATAACCAATTTACCATATCTTTATCGTTGAAGGACTTGGGAACCGCCGACAGGCAATCAATAACAAGCTTCTTGCCGAGAAACCCTAGACCTCGTAATGTCATTCCTTGAGGAATTTCAAGCCAGTATTCCTCTTCTCTGACTCCATTATTTTTCTGCTTGCCTTTGATTCTTTTATTCTTCTCTTGGGTAACAGATTTATCTCTTTACGTTAAATCTTATATTTTTCTTAAAATTACGCATTCACACATGAGTTTCCTGTTAACAGATTTGGATTCACTTCCTCATATTCTTCAAAAGAAGTACTCATTGTTACGTGACCTTGACAAGAGTCTACAAGGTACGTTTAATATTTCGATTTATTTTTAGCAAGTCTATCCGTGTTCTTCACTTCTGCCACCTAATATTTTTAGTGCGTCTATTTTAATTTTTCTTTCCTCTTCGTGATCATTACCCTTTTCGGAGTCTAAAATGAAATGTAGTAATTAGAGAAAATAAAATGCTGGAAGAACTCACCCAAGAGCCAAGGTTCTGTTTTATTTCATTGTTCCTTGTGATTTTTTATCATTCTCTGGAATTAGATTGAAATTATTAGGTAAGAGCAATGAAATCTTTGAGAAGGTCGACTATTAGGCATTGCAGGCACAAATAGGGTTCACCCTATTAAACACCGGTACTTTATCTTTGTAGTTTGTAGGCAGCATAGTGTTTGTGTCGAATTTGTACATGCTTTTCTCGCATACCCCTTGCCAGCTATCCCTGTATTGGTTACTTGGAATAATGTTGCCTTGACAACATTGGTTACAATGATTATAGTTTGAAGGCCACTTTTTTACCGCTTTGTTGATATAAAGTCACCTGATCTTGATCTCATGGCTTCTCTTATGAAAGTAATAAAAACTGCAGAATCTCTTTTATCTATTTGTCTTTTGTTTTTGTGTATTTATTATATATTAATTACTTTGCTGTTGCTCATAATTAGATTTAACTTAAAGGAATGATGCAGTTTCTTTCCTTCTTCTTCTTTTTTTTTTTCCTTTCCTTTTTGGTTTGAATATTGAATATTCTGTTCATGCTTATAGGTTCATGGTATCCCTTTTTTTAAATCAATGTTTGTGTTGAAGTTTGGTTTTTATGTTATACTGTATATTTTGCGAGCACTGTAAGAAATTTGATGTATCATGTATATGGGCAGATATTCAAAAGCAAAATGAACAGCATTGTGAACAAGAAATAGAAGATATAAGACGAGGTGTTAGGTCTGGGAACATCACACCTGACACTTCACTTATCAGATTCTCTGATGAAGCACTTGATGAGCAAAAGCACAGCATCAGGATTGCTGACGAAAAAGTTGCCTTGGCAGTTCAGGCATACGATTTGGTACTCAATGTGCATCATCCTTTTCTTTGATAATGAGATCATAAGGAGTTCAGTTGTTATTTTCATTTTTGGCCGAAATGTAGTTGTAAAAAACTGCACTTTACGAACTATAATTCTTTTTAAAAAAATATGTATAATATGAGATCATAGGAGTTGGAAATCCTCAGATAATACCTCTACTTTTTTAAAAACACACACACACACACACACACATGTTGACATTATATGTTGGATCAAGACAAAAAATTCCAAAGCCAAGTATATCAATCAAGAAACATAAAATAAACTGTCATTTCGTAAATTGTATCTTGACAAGGCAAAGACTACAGTGGTAAAGCCTTTTGTAAATTTAGTCCAAAATAACTTTCTGTACTTCTTTAAATATTTTGTGACTGGGTCCTATTCATGATTCTGCGCAGGTAGATACACACATACAACAGCTTGATCAATATCTGAAGAAGTTTGATGAAGAGTTTAGGCGTGGTACTGTGCTTTCTTGTTTTTCGTTCAACGTTATACTAAATCATAACTCCGGCTATGTTTATAGCCGGTCCCAAGCCCGGGTAAAGGAGGAGGGTTGTGTTAGGCCATCAACAGCCAATGTAAAAATTTGTTGAATCTATCATGAACATGGACAATAGACGTTACACTATTGAGGAAAAAATGAAAAGCGGTTGAGATGGTTTGGGCATGTACAAAGAAGATCAAGGGAGGCACCAGTGAGAAGAGTGTAACATATAACTTTGAGTCCGATTAAGAGAGGTAGAGGAAGGCCTAAAGAATACTCTTGGAAGTTGTTGAACGCGATCTCTTAATTAATAATATTCCTAAAAGCTTGATAAATGATAGAGCACAATGGCGTCTTGCAATTCATGTAGCCGACCCCACCTAGTGGGATAAAGGCTTGTTGTTGTTGTTGTTGTTATACTAAATCATGATAACGACTTGTCCCTCTCATGTATGTGTTAAACATTTGTGTTCTGTAACAGAAAGAGAGAATGCTGCAACAACTGGAGTGCCTGCTTCAGGTCAAGATGGTAACACAAAATCTGGAAGGGGTAGTGAAAGTGGTAGAGGAGGGCGCAAAAAGTATGTAGTTCCGTGCAAAAATTCTCTGATTTCACTCATGTAGCTTGTCCTTATCATTTTCTGGTCACTTCTCTCTGACTTCATTTCTGCCGGTGACACTCTTCCAGTTGAGTTATTCATAAGGAGCCCATTCTACAAGTAGAAAATATAAAAAGGCTGAGTTTAATAACAATTGAATGATGAGAAAAATATGATGATCTGGAAATTCTTTTTCTGATATATTTGGATGGCATTGAGAGGGATGGTATGGTCAGTGAATGGAAGCAGGCAGTTCATGGTCACCATAATAACAATGATTCCAAAATAATTACCTGACATATCTAATCTTAATAAAGGATTACGCTTCCCTATATAATTCCCGTTATCACTTGTTACCACTCCATCAGGTAGCAGGTTTCATTTTAACCTTGTGAAGAGGGAATTCATGCACGTTTTTTCTTATTTGATTTAATTTTCTCCGGCTGTGATGAATAATGAATATGTTTGTGTTATGACTGCTGCTACATCAATCATTGTTGGACAGAAAGCAAAGAAACAATTTCTCTATTCTTTTTTCCTTCTTCTTCTTCTTCTTCTTCTTCTTCTTTTTGTTGTTGGGTGAACTCGAAGAAGCCATTTGAATGTTGATTCTCTGATGCTGATTGAATTATGACTGCTGCAGGACACGGCAAGCATCAGTTACAGCAGCAGCAGCAGCAGAAGCCCAAACCACAACTGCAAACCCAGCTGGCATGGATTTAGATTTACCTGTGGATCCAAATGAGCCCACTTACTGCTTTTGTAACCAAGTTAGCTATGGCGAGATGGTTGCATGCGATAATCCTAACGTATGTATTTTGCTCGTTTCTTTTTTTTTTTTTTCATGCATTACGTACATTCCTGCCATCCACTGACATTACCTCTGTTTTAACAGTGCAAAATAGAATGGTTCCATTTTGGTTGTGTTGGTCTTAAAGAACAACCTAAGGGAAAATGGTACTGTTCAGATTGCGCGGCAACAAGAGGTCGCCGTAAAGGAAAATGAGGATGTGTACAAGTTCAAATGACAGTGTATATATGCTTAGAATCTTCAGGTAGGAAATTATTTTGACTTACATGCGATGGCCTTGGAGCTCTGTTTCCGTAGCCTAGATTGTTTAGGAAGGTTTGGAGTTAACACGTTTTACTTAAAGTAGCCGTTATATAAGATCTGCCTTGTAGCTCTTCAGATTCATCCAATGTGTTTCTTCTTTGGAGTTAACGACTGGCTTAAGCTGTTTATGACACGAAATGGGCAAGGGAAGATCCATTGTTAGAATAGTGAACATGGCCAAGTCCAATGCTTTCTGGAGGTAGACTTGTAAGACTGTAGCATAGTATAATGAAGGTTAATTTATAAGGTACTGAAAATATCAAAATCTATAATCAGATGATTTGGGTTGATTAAATTAAAAGGTGATAACCTTAAATAAGTAGCCAACAAATTAATAAATGAACTAAATAATGATACGTTCATAAATAATAAACATGATAAACGTGATTTTTTATAATTACATTTATATTAATGGTCAAATAGCCACAACATAATTATTTTTTTTTATGAAGTTAATATTAATATTTAATCTAGTTTGTGTTTTGTTCAATATGGGGGATTCTCAGGGCTAGGGTAAAATAATTTTTTTAGAAGTTATCTAACATTTTATGCTATATCAATTAAATACTTAATCATGCTATGTGCAAATACCGGCCACAAAAGTAATCGGGTATTTCTGAAAGCTAGAATAGGAAAACTAATTTTCATGGGGTTAAATCAGCATCAGTAATTTGTTAATTTCTAAATTTAAATATTGAATTATCATGTCCAAATTTGCTTCATACTCAATTTTCAAATGGTCCAAATACCGGCCACAAAAGTAATCGGGTTTTTTTTTTTTTTGGTTGGGTAGAAAAAAGAACTATCTTTCCAACTTCAATACTTCATACGCCACACAATATAGAGAAATACAACGTAGTTGAAAGCGACCCCTATCCATGCCAATACAACGTTAACTTCAAAAAGATGCAAATGATGTCTCCCTCCATATCTACTTATAGCACAATTTATTATTAAAATTTAACTAAGGGCAGCGGCCAGACTTTCTAACCAGACAAACGAATAAAACGCAAGACCACCATTTTGAATTGAGAAGATACCAAAACAGACAATGTCTTATTTTGATGATAAACTACTCAGAATTATACCGTTGCAACAATCGGAATTTTTCCTGCCTACGTCCTCATCTCTAACTATGATTACATGAAAGCCTCCTTCACAGAACAAATGGAAGAAAAACCAAATGGGGCTTCGCACCATTCAATGTTCATGATCCGACATCCCTTCAATAGTCCATGCCACCCATGCCACCACTCATTGGGGAAACTTCTTTATCATCCTTTGGGAGTTCGGCCACAACTGCTTCAGTTGTTGTCATCAAAGATGACACACTGCACCAAACAAAGTGATTTAGTTACCACAAGAAGCATATGGCGTACGTGTAATAGATATTACCAAGGGAAAGTTCTTTTTTGAATAGATAAGGCAGGCCAAAGCCTGAATGAGAAACAAACAGGTAAGTAAAGCACCAAGGGAAAGTTCTTGGCATCTCACCTGGCAGCATCAACCAAGGCGGTCCTAATAACTTTCAATGGATCTATGATTCCAGATTTAACCATATCAACATATTCACCTGGTCATGATGGAGAACAGCCAGCAGAATCAGTAGGCAGCAGGAGCCAGATGTCCCTTGACAAGGAAAATCTATACATTTAAAGGAAGCGAAGAAACACACCTTTAGCAGCATCATATCCAAGATCAGGGTCGTCTTGTTCCAAGAGCTTGCCAACAACAACAGCACCCTCAACTCCAGCATTTGATGCTATTGTGTGCACCGGTGTCTGCATTGATTTGTTAACAGGATAACAAAAAGATCAGTAACTTCAAGTTTCAACTATTCTTGATGTTAAAGGGAAACTAGACATGCTTATGAAATTTGAGGCAAGTCACGTTGTTTATAGCATAAGAATAATAAAACTTCATATAAGTATTATATTTAATATTTGATTAACTGAGCTCATTGCGTCACAGAATGAACCCCAGAAAAGACTTCATGCTACAAGAGATAAAACAGAAAAACAATAGTCTACGTTTCCTTTCCTTGTTCTTGCCAAGAGGCGCTTGCTCAGTAGCAAATTGCTATCAAGTCTGTAATTTTTATTTTTATTTTTTGAAAGAAAGGACTTGCCTTGAGAGCGTTTTGGATAATCTGGACACCTATCTTCTGATCGAAGTTAGCAGTTTGGAGCTTGTCCAATTCTTTTGACGCATAAAGAAGTGCAACACCACCCCCTATAAAAACGAAGCAAATCAAATGATTAGGTTACATAGGAGGGTTTAAAACTAACAACCCAATCAGTCAATCACTAACGAAAATATACCTGGTACTATACCCTCTTCCACAGCCGCTTTGGTTGCATTTAAGGCGTCTGTTACTCTATCCTTCTTTTCACCGACTTCAGCCTCACTGGCTCCTCCAATCTGTGAAAGCGCAGATCACAATATAACCCTTACCATTCCTGCTTAGGATGTTTGCCAGGAGAAAGATTGCTGCCCTAGTAAGAGAGGTGAGCATAGCAAGCATACCTTAAGCACTGCAACACCCCCAGAAAGCTTGGCTAATCTTTCCTGCAACTTTTCCTTGTCATAATCTGAAGTACTATTCTCAATGGCTGACCTGATCTGTTTGTCAAAATACATCATAATAACGAAGTCAGGAACATCAATGCCCGTACTTTACAAATCTCCAAATAGATAACCTAACATGGGTAGATTCATAAACAAATCCAAAAGAAACTAAACACAAACCTGCTCACATCTTTCCTCAATTGATTTCTTGTCACCAGCTCCGTCAAGAATGACAGTGTCATCCTTAGAAATTGTCACCTAAAGCATCAAGGTCTCAAATTAGTGATATACATTGATCCATGCAAGGAAAAGGGTGAATCCGTTCGAGCTTTTTATGCTCATAGACATGTTGCCTTGGAGAGATTTGGTTCTCTATCAGAACCATCCAAAACATTTTATCAATAAATGGTACCAAAACACGTTTGAATCTTGTCTAAACAAAGCTTAATTACCTTTTTGCAAGAGCCAAGCATATCCAGATCAACTTTTTCAAGATTCAGGCCAAGCTCTTCAGTGATAAGCTAACACACGACAAGAAAATACTTCATTCAGAAGCTCAGAAGATCATACTTAAATCTAGCTGTAACCAATGCTAGAACCGAAAACTTACTTCACCTCCTGTGAGAACTGCAAGATCCTGAAGATTTGCTTTCCTATTTTCACCAAAACCAGGAGCTTTAATGGCACATACCTAGGGAAGTGCACCAGATGTCACATCAATTAAATCAGCAAAAAACTGAAAGCCATCTATTCCAAGATATCTAAGACCTTAGGAATAGCCAAAAACATTAGCAAGACAAACCTTGATACCAGCACGAAGCTTATTTAGAATAAGAGTTGCTAGAGCATCACTCTCCACATCCTCCGCAACAATCAATAGAGGTCTTTGTCTCTGAAGTTAGGCAAGTGTCAGTCATCATCCAAAGTTTCATAATCAATACGGTGAAACAAAGTACTCCATTCAAAAAATACAAAACATTTTTTAACCAAATCTTATTACCAATAAAGTAATTACTAATTTTCAAACTAACCCTATCTTTCCATATTTACTTCTATTTAATAGAATATTTCACCTAAAATAAATATAAAGTAATCTATTCAATAGAAATACTTTTGAAGGAAAAAAGCAATGATTACACATTAAAAAAATAAAAATGCTTTACATTTTTTAACATTTAATCCTTCAAAAAGTGCCTTACATTTTTAACTAATTCTCACCTTTAGAGCTAACTCCAATACTTTAACCACAGCATTGATGCTTGAGATTTTCTTCTCATGGATTAGAACAAGAGGATCTTCAAGTTCCTATTGCACAATCAATTGCAAGGTTAAGCATCAATTGAATCATATTAGCAAGTATGATGATGCCACAAGGATTTTAAACAAGCCTCCCGTGCAAAATTTTGAAGACTTATCATGCAGTTCACAGAGAGAGAGATAGAGAGCATACACATTTCTGGTTCTTCTGGTTTGTTATAAAATACGGAGATATATAGCCCCTGTCTAGCTTCATTCCTTCAACGACTTCCAACTCATTATACAGAGTCTTGCCATCCTGAGACAGTTCAGAAGATGTTAGTTCGCACCACATACATAAATGCGTAGAAGATAGATTCTGACTGCCCATCCCTTCCAAGGGAAAGGGTAAGAAAGAAGAGGCCCCATAAGGGAGCCTAAAGGTGTGGGTGCAAGAAGGCCGGATCACAGGAAACTAAAGGTGTGGATGCAAGAATATCGTATCGCAGGAAAATACCAGGAGAAAAAGGGTGGAGAACATAATAAATACTTCAGGGAAGAAGATTTTGAAAAGACATTGAAGAGACAAATCAAAAACCCCACCGCCCCTTCAGCCAAAAAATAATAATTAAAAAAACAGCAGAAACTCATTACAATATGAAGAAAAAATAGTAGTTAGTAAGAAAACCACAAGACAACTTACTGAGATTGTGATTACTCCCTCTTTCCCAACTTTCTCCATAGCCCTTGCAATTAACTCACCAATTTCTCTCTCTCCATTAGCTGATATAGTCCCTACCTATGATTTAAATAAAGGAATTAAAACTTAAATTATTTTAAAAAAATCAGAGTCCATGCTGCAAAAGGAAAGGAGAGAATATAAAGAAAAATTTCCCGGACCTGCGCAATTTCTTCGGATGTGCTGATCATCCGGGCTCTACTTTTCAAATTTGTCACCACAGCATCAACTGCCATAGTGATGCCACGCCTCAAGTCCATCGCATTCATTCCAGCTGCCACTGACTTGCACCCCTCAGTGAATATTGCCCGAGTAAGGACAGTAGCACATGTAGTTCCTGCCAAACAATTAAGCCAGACAGCTTCTCATTTCTTTTCTATTACGACAAAAACATGAAAAATAATTGGACAATAAACGGATGGCAAATGTTAAATATTTGGTCTTCCGGCATTTAAACCATTTTATGGCAAGAAGTCAAAGCCAAATCCCAATTATCACAGAACCAAGCAATGTAGCATCAGTAATTGGTGAGGTGTTATTATTCAACTCTATTTTTCTCATGGGCAACATCTCACCATCACCAGCTATGTCGTTGGTGGCATTTGCAACCTGCTTTACAAGACTGGCTC